GATTGGCCATGATGGACAGTGTCTCCTGGTGCTCCTCTCCCCACGCACCCTCTTACTTATCTCTAACACTTCCTTATTCAGCTCCTCTGCCTCTGTCCATCGTCCTTGGTTGCAATATGTCAGTGCAAGATTGGCCATGCTGACCAGTGTCGACAGGTCTTCCTCTCCCAGCACCCTTTTCCTTGTCTCTGTCACATGGACAAATGACATTTCGGCGTCATTATACCTTCCGTCACTAAGCAAACACAGTCCAAGCTTCTCAAGCAATGATAGTTTCTCTGGAACCTCGTCGCCAAGATCTGAGCGGACGACATAGAGTGCGTGCGGTAAGTAGGCTCTCCACAAGTCCCTGTTTGTGTGATCATTGCTTGGGAAGACCTCGTCTAGCCGTACAATGGCCTTCGCCACCCACTTGGATAACGAATTTTCCATTTGCAGCCAATTTCGAGTGGCGAGATGGACTAGCCGATGGAGGTCCAGCGACGAATCTGCAGGCCGCTTCGTAATAAATGAGTAAGCACTCAGGGTCCCAATTGCCTCAATCATCCTTTTCTTCGACTTTGCCGGCGGCAGAAGGGACTGCGGAACAGCCCTTGGATCAATACAGGCCATAAATGACAGGTACTCTGCTGCGAGAGGATCACGACGCCTGATTTGCTCAAATGAAATCAGCCATGTCGAGGCAATAGGATTCTTGATGTTGCGATATCTTCCATCGTCTTCGAAGTCCTCACTTAGGATTTCGATAATGCGATGCTCTTTATCCTTCAGAAGTGATAGATATTCCGAGAGGGATATCCCATTTTCGTTTATATAGGCGGCTGCCTGCGCAATGGCAAGGGGAAGAAAGGTCAGTTGCTCGAGGAGGTCGAGCGTGGTCCGATGATCGTTCAAGAGTCGCTGATCAATTAGGGATTTGCTTAGCATCTGGGTTGCTATCTGCTCATCCATCTCGCCGACACCGACCAGGTTTTGCGCAGCAAATTTGACTGCGGCTTTTCGGTCTCGCGTCGTGAAAATGATGGACCCCTGGCTGCTTGTCGGCACATAGTTGATTAAAGCTGGCTCGTTGGTGCCATCCGTGTTCTTGAACCACAGGTCGAGATCGTCCGCATTGTCGTATATCAGCAACCAGCGGCCGGCGCTGTCCTGACTGAGGTATTCTTGCACGATCTTCTTGATGTTGTCATTCTGCTTCTCGGCTTGTGGTAAACACAGCTTCCGGCCAATGTCGAGATATGCCTGTTGAAAGCTTTCGACAGTGGTCGAAGGCACCCAGAAGACAGAGCAGTCTGGCCTTTGTGCTCTGGTTCGGTAAGCTAATTCAAGCGCAATCTGAGTTTTGCCCACTCCACCCAGACCAAAGATGGCGATTTTCGTGCAGGAACCTTCGACGAACAACCTTCTTTCAAGTTCGTCAAGTTGCTGTTCGCGGCCCACAAACTTTGGATTTCTCACAAAGGGAACAGACCAGCAAGCTTCTTGTCTGCGGGTCTGTCTGTCAGCAGACTCCGAACGAAGACCGGCCCGGATTTCATGAAGTATTTCACGGCGAGTGATCAGATGCTCCTCTTTGACTCTTGCCAATGTTTCCCTGTGCAAGTCTTTCATGCAAGTGAGCTGGGCATCATGCGCTGCTTCAAAGACATCTCGTTGGTCGACGATGGCGTCCACGACATGCTTCGTCGCTATATCGAGCTCCCGCAGGCGGTCCGAGTTTTCTGCTCTGAACAGAGCAAGTTGGTCCCTGCCTTGCATTTAGTGCGATTATATATGATAATAATGGCTCCAAGCCGTTCATTACCTCAACTCAACAACAACGTGCAGGTTCAGCTCTTCCCGGAGCCTCGCCAGCCTTTGTTCGAGCTCTTCGATCTTATTTTTGCTCCAGATACTTTGCAATGCCTTTTTAACACTCTTCCATCGTCCTGGCTGACCTTTGACCTTCAGCTTATCTAACGCTGCTAGCAGTTCGTCAGCGACATTACTGCACAATGCACACAGCTTCTGAAGCTCGCCAGCCCCACTAGAACTCGCAGCGTCTTTAAGCTTATTGTTCAGCAGGACCAGGTGTCTTGTCACGGTCTCGATGTCGGCATTCTCTGGCAATACACCTCTACTGGAGCTGTAGATATGGGCCGACGTGGATAGTATCGTCCCCGTGAAGTCAAGAAATTGGACAATATTCCCAACAAGCCCGACGATACTGAGCGGATCCATTCTGGCGGTCACAGGAGCAGAGACAGTCTCCCGGGACTGTAAAAAGGGGAAATGAAGGGCTCATGATGAGGAGTCGCAATGAAATACTCGAGACAAGTGCATGTACAGCACAAGGCTGAATGCCCCCTCACCCTGGACAGATGATCGGCTTGCATAGCCTCAGCGCGACCGCTGTTTGGATGCGGCTCATTGTCGCTGCGAACCCTAGGGGTTCTGCCATTGCTTGCCGCCTTTTGCCAGCTCATCTGTTACAATCTGCCATACCTTAGCAGGTAGATAGTCACAGTAGCTAAACATGCTCCCAGTGCCAATTGATATCGATTGTCGGTCAGGAAACTTCATCCGGGGAATCAGACGAAACAGGACTAGCGTGATCTGTTTGCACCGTTTGGCTGTGCTCCACGTGTACTCCGTAGCGTCGGGCTCGCACACGTGACCGATCTCCAGGATGCAAACTTTGCATCCTGGAGCAAAGTCTACTCCGTAGGCAGTTAGCCTAATCCGTGGTTCCTGGTTGACAAATACCCCCTAAACGATGCTATATGAAGTTTAATATCGTAGACGCTGACCTTCCACCCCAGACTTGCCACGCGAGATGCCTGGTAAGGGATAGAGTGAAGCATGGAACATGGTCTGTCCTTCTAGTCGCCCAGCACCAATAACATTCCGATGGGAGAAACAAAGCAACACTGCTTTAATTGATTGCATGCTGATTGGCCATCTTACAAAAAAGAAAAAAAAAACCTTGGACAAGTGCCAACGGCCCGGACAGTCTTCTACAATTTTTTTTCTCTTGCTTACTCCGGAGTAAGAAGATGACGCTGTAGAATACGGAGAAAGCCCCGTTGCATCCGGCTCGTCTTGCCTGCTGCGATGCGAGCAAGATCCTTCTTCTGCAAGAAACCGCCTTAGGCGTGTTTTGAAACAGACAGCCAAATGCGCCATCAGTGTTGGGGGCTTCGAGTGAAGTGCACTGGGCACATGGTTTTTTGCCCTTTGCCCTAGGTGAGTAATAGTGCTCCGTACGTGATTATCGCGACCCGTGTTCGTTGGTAGCATCTAAATTAGCGAGGTGATCTAGCGCAGCTGTTAGTGCGTTCTAGAAAGTGCGCTAGTCCCCAGCCTCCAGGTTCCAGCTCTCGTGTTTCGTTCTCGCGATGGCCTTCTTGCTTTAGGTAATTCTCCTTGCGAGTAGGCTCAGAGGGAAGTACTCCGTAAGCTGCAGGTCAGGCCAGTCGTGGGTCCTTCTGAGTCACCGCATCCCCGTAAGACTCGTCTGGGGATGGCGAGCCATGCCCTCAACCCGACTGAGCCTGCTCTGCCGCGCATGGCTGGCCTATTCCCAGGGATGGAGATGGCCTCGCGTGGCCGAACCAGTCGGTGCTTTTGACAGCGGCGGCGTTGGTCTGGGGAGGCGCGCGTCCTCCAATCGTCTTGCGTTCGCCCCCAGGCCGATCGGGCCCGAGCAACGGGGGAAGGATTCTACCCCGTGGGTCGCGCTCGAGCGCTGCGAATAATTATTACATTACATCCATATCGTTGTGGACTGGACTGGAGATCATGTTGTCATCGGGCGAGCCTCTGTCCCGCGCCCTCCCCCAGATTGCGCCCCGATGGGCTGGCTCGGCCGCCCTCTGCCCCGTGGGACCAGATCGCTCTAACTTACATATGGCTGGTCGCTTTCTTTCTTATATGCCTCTTCTTTGTCTCTCTCGCCCTTCCTTTTCGACATGGTGGCTCGGCGAGACAGTGCCTGTGCGACTGTTCGTTTTTATTACAGGTGGACTGGAGGATTCCTTCTCAGATATCCGTCACCCCTCAGGTTTTTCTCTTCCTGGTTACCGTAACAGGAAAGAAAGAAAACTCGACTCCACCGTGTGCCGCCAGAGACAGTCGCCCTTCTGGCGCCCGACTCGAGCGAACTGGAGCGGCCTTTTGATGTCTCAGCAGCGTCTCTCCATGCTGGGGGCTAGTTGATTCATGGCTTGCATCCACCATCTCCTCCTCGAGACCGCTTGATCCTGGCTAGTTTTGATCATGTTGGAAAAAAGAATGCAGCCGACGCCGGGAGGAGAGTCTCCCCCGCAGACGGAGAATATCGAATATGCTCCGCCTCGACGTTCGCATCTGACGGCAGCGGAGCGCGCTAGGCGCAATCTCAACGCCAAACTCGCCAATCCGCTCGCCGGATACACGCACGAAGAGCTGAGAAAGCAAGGCATCCGGTTCAGCATCACGCATCAGATGGGCGACGAGGAGGATATCCGGGCCTTCGAAATGGGCGCCGTCCTGGCCCAGGCCCCCACCGGTTCGAGGGCATTGAAGGCCTGACGCCCCAGGAACTCCAGGTGCTTCGCGATGAGTTCAACAATCGCTGGTCTCAGCCCAAGCTGATGTATATGGTGATTGTGATCTGCTCCATCTGCGCGGCGGTCCAAGGCATGGGTACGTTGTCTCTCTCTTGATCCTGTCGCCCCCAAACACAACTGACTTGCCTGGCGTGCTGACGCGGCCCTGCATCGATTGGATAGACGAAACGGTCGTCAATGGCGCACAGGTGCTCTACAAGTATCAATTCGGGATTGCAGGAAACGACCCGCGCTCCACGTGGCTGCTCGGGCTTCTCAACGCAGCTCCCTACCTCTGCTGCGCGGTAGCAGGCTGCTGGCTGACCATTCCCTTCAACCACTGGTTTGGTCGCCGAGGAACCATCTTCATCACCTGTCTGCTGTCGACCCTGGCCTGTCTGTGGCAGGGGTGTGTCAACACATGGTGGCACATGTTCATCGCCCGATTCGTCCTGGGGTTTGGAATCGGGCCCAAGTCGGCTACCGTGCCGGTTTACGCCGCGGAGAGCAGTGCGTCTTACTACCGCGCCAACATACATACATACATAGAGACGGTCATAGGCTAACAATGAGGGCTTAGGTCCGCCGGCGATCAGAGGTGCCCTCGTCATGCAGTGGCAGATGTGGACGGCCTTTGGCATCATGTTCGGATACGCGGCCGATCTGGCGTTTTTCAAAGTGCCGGACCAGTCCGGCATCGTCGGCCTCAACTGGCGTCTCATGATGGGATCGGCCATGTTCCCGGCCGTCATCGTCTGCGTACTCGTCTTCCTCTGTCCCGAATCGCCCCGTTGGTACATGAGCAAGGGCCGCTATGACAAGGCGTATCAGTCCATGTGCCGGCTGCGGTACACCAAGCTCCAAGCCGCCCGAGACATATACTACATGCACACGCTGCTGGAGGCAGAGACGACGATGAAGTTGGGCCAGAACAAGGTGGTGGAGCTGATCATGGTGCCCCGCAACCGCCGCGCGTTGATCGCGTCTGAAATCGTCATGTTCATGCAGCAGGTAGGTCACCCGGAGGCTCTTGAACATTCGAGACAATGATGAGCTGACAGAATGATCGTCCACAGTTCTGCGGAGTCAACGTGATCGCCTACTACTCGTCTGAGATCTTCCTGCAGGCCAACTTCTCGCCGATATCCGCGTTTTCCGCGTCGCTGGGATTCGGTCTCGTCAACTGGCTCTTCGCGATCCCGGCCATCTACACGATCGACACGTTCGGGCGGCGCAATCTCCTGCTCACCACGTTCCCACTGATGGCGCTGTCCATGTTCTTCACGGGCTTCAGCTTCTGGATTCCCGAGACGCATCACACGGCGCGCCTGGGCTGCATCGCGCTGGGCATCTTCCTATTCGGCATCTTCTACTCGCCGGGCGAGGGCCCCGTGCCATTCACCTACTCGGCCGAGGCGTATCCGCTGTACGTGCGGTCGTACGGCATGGCGCTCGCGACGGCGACAACCTGGTTCTTCAACTTCCTGCTAGCCATCACGTGGCCGTCGCTGCAGAACGCGTTTACCACCCAGGGCGGCTTCGCCTGGTACGGCGCCTGGAACATCGTCGGCTGGTGGCTGATCCTGATGCTCATGCCCGAGACGAAAGGCCGCACCCTCGAGGAGCTCGACCAGGTCTTCTCCGTGCCTACCCGCGTCCATGCCGCTTGGGGTCTGCGCCAGATCCCGTATTTCTTTAAGCGCTACGTGTTTCGTCTCAGCAAGGTCCAGCCGGAAGTCCTCTATGAGATGGAGGATGTTTCCCCTGACAGGGTTTCACCGCACCATCTTCATCATCCTGGTGCTGTGGGGTTCAATATTGTTTGATGTCTGCTGGACGAACAGAACACACACAGAAACACAGAAAAAGGGAATGAATCACGATCGTTGACCATGCCCATGACCATGACCATGACCATGACGCCATGACCAGTTACCTAATTACGGTTGTGATGCGATGGAACATGCCATGCCATGCGCAATAGGATCTAGGATCTATCTATCCGATCTGATCGATCGATCAACCTTTCATTTTCATGAATCAATCAATCCGTCCGTCATGAGATGAATGAGACTTGACTCGATCCAGCACATAAGAATAAGATGGATGGATGGATGGGAACGAGAACGACCAGCCGGTCGGTCAGTCATGTTTGTCACAGTCACAGCAGAACAAACACAAACACAGATCTCTGCCTGTTTAGAATAGAGATAGCGAGTTTTTTTTTCTTTTTAAACCGGTCCGGGTCCGAATTCGGGTCCGGGTGTTCTATCTCTATCCTTTTGCTCTTTTTTTTTTTGGTTGCTTCTTGCCTGCCGTTCTTGTTTTTTTCTGTACAGGCTTGTTCCTTTTTTTTTTCGCTTTTTCTTTTTCTGTCTTTGTCTTGCATGGGCGTTCGCTTATATTTCCTATCGGGCTTGGGGGTTAGGGCTTGGGATTGCATTGCATCTGGGCCATGGAGGATGGAGGATGGATGGATGGCGGACAGGACAGGTGCGTAGATGGACGTTCTTGTTTGTCAAGGTTCATATTCTTCATATATATCTTCATCATTCTGTATGTACATACATTTGAGACATAGATAAATATTGGCAATACCAGGGTCATGCTTGCTCGGATCGAAGTCTATTGTGGTATACACAAGTAGTAGCCAAGCGTCAGTACGGTAGTCGACGCCGCTAGAAGTCTTCATTAGAAAGGCTCTGCTCTGGTCTCCTTTGCTCCTGTTAGTCGTTGAACTGAACTAGTTTGTCGTCTAGACAGAACAAGAGGAACTAATCAAGATGGTCAACAGATAAACATGATGCAAGAGCCCATTCAGACAGCAGTTGGACTAATTTCACGTTCCGCATGGAGATAGATCTCTCGGAAGAGGTCTGGGTGAATTTGTTTGCTTCATCATAATGGGCATGGTGCTTAATAGAGAAGGGGATGGGGGGAAAGGTGGGAAAAAACAGAAGTGTATACTCACCATTAATTATGGTTGAGGAGAGCCAGTCCACCTGCATGTTTAATATTCAGTAAACTCCCGATTTTCCAAAAAAGCTGTCAATCTTTTGTTGTCGCTCATCATACGCCGCACTTCCGATTCCTCCGCGGGTNCAACGCAGATCAGCCAAGTGTGCCTTGCTATCCACTGCCAGGACGTCCATCGTCCAGCCTGACAGAAGAGCATCAGACGGCGAGGTCTCTGGGAGGGTCGACTGTACAGGCGGTGCAGTTTCCTGAACACCGGAAGTGAAATCCTGCTGTGAGGGAGTAGAAAACTTGGACAAAGTTAGTGACTCTGGCGGTAGACGCCGCTGTATATACAATTCCACGAATCCTGTGTTAGACCAGAATGGAATGAACGGCACCCCGGGCCGGAGGTTCCAAGCCACCCCAGGTCCAAAACGAATATCCTGGGGATTAAAAAGACTAGTGATGCAGAGCCAGAGGACACGAAGAATGACCCCATGGGCAACAACCGCCACTGTCTCGTCGTCGCTTGTATCGTTAAGCAGCACCGGCAGAAGATATTCGCTGAGAAAAGCATTCACCCGGGCTTCCATCGAAGCCTGTGACTCGGCGCTGACAGTTGAAAACCCCGTGTCCATGCCACCGTAGTTCTGCCCGGAGGCTGTACGAGACGACTTCATATTGGCACCTTCCAATGTCCCGAAATACTGTTCTCTGAGGTACGGTGTCAACAGCGGGGTCAGAGCAGGGCCTCCCAGTTGCTGCTGAATCTGCTGGCTTGGTTCCGCGCAGATACCTTCCGCGGTGAGCTGAGCTCTCTTCAGGTCCGACGAGAAGACTCGGGTGAACTTGATCCTGCAGGATGTAAAGTACTGAGCCAGGCGTTGAATCTGTAGGACGCCATGATTCGTGAGGGTGGAATCCGTGGTGCCCGCCCTGCAGACAAGTCAACAAACACCAGTTGACGCGAGGTTCAAAGCAGCAGCAGGGAGCCCGTACCACGCCAGCCCCACGTTATGGACGGTCTCACCGTGGCGGATGAGAAAGAGCCTCATTCTGAACGATGCCACTCACATCTCTGACTCGGCTAGGTTTGAGCTGAGCTAGACAGGATCAAGGTTGAGGGGGGAAGCAAGGGAAAAAAACAGAAACAAGAAAAAAAATTGCGGGGAGCTCCCGTTGAAGGAATCGCTAGCGGCAAAATAAAAAAAAGGAACGCTTAATGAACCAACCATGACGCAGGAATTTGCCCCAAATCAGCGTTGCAACAAATAACAATCGTTAAAAACGTTCTAGAATTTTATTTCTCAGTGGTTTTTTTCTCTGTTTGCTTTATTATTTGCCAGGCCTTCACCGCTCGACGTTCTTTCTTTGGAGTCGTGACTCTGAGCGGAGCCAGAATCTCACTGAAGCTTCGTGGAGTCGTGGGCTGCCAAAAATTCTGTCAAAGGAAAAACAAGTCAAAAAAAAAAGAAAAGACAAAAAAAAAACTTTGGTTCTTTCGTTTCTGCCCCAAAATTACTTCTCTCTGGAAAAATTATCCGGCAACACAGCGCAACTTCTGTTTCAAGTCGTCAGTCGGAAATAACACCCGTCCATTCATTCTGTGCGCGACCGCGTTTCTTGTGGATATTGCCATTCTTTTGCTCGATCGACAAGATGACTGACACAGTCGACAACTCTAATCAGAGGCAACAGCCCTGGAGTATGTACTTTTACGTCCTCAATTCAATATGATGCAGTTGTCTCTGTCACGTTTTGAAAAACTGTTGCTAAAGCGGGGCGATAGCACCGACAAAATCCCCCTTCCAGAATGGAGGCAAAACAGCAAGCCGCGCACTCAACTCGCCCAATTGGCGCATCAAGGCAGAGGACAGTCCAAATGGCCACAGTCCCAGGTTTTCAAATCAGCCGACCAGTTCGCCCCGCTCCCCGTTCAACAGATCATCTCCCCAGGCGATAGCGGAGGGCAGACGTCTCTATGTGGGCAACATGCCGTACATGGCCAAGAGAGAGGATGTGGAAGCCTTGTTTGCTGGAGGAGACTATAAAATGTGCGGCATTTGACTGAACTCGTATCGCTCCTGTTGACTGATCAGTGCCTCTCCCTAGCGAGCGGATTGACATCTCGATCGACCCCTTTACCGGCCGCAACCCCTCCTACTGTTTTGTAGACTTGGAAACAAAAGATCAGGCTGATCGGGCGATGAAAGAACTAGACGGACGGGATCTGCTTGGACGCCCAGTCAGAGTCAAGCCGGGAGTTGCCAAATCGACCCAGGACCGCTCATTCTCCAGGACGACTGACAGCCCATCCCCCCGTGCCAATGACAAGACAGGCTCGCCTTCATACACTTTTGACCGCTGGCAGCGAAATGACGCTTCTGCCCACTTTAAGGGGTACAGTGAACAGGGTCGCCGGTTATATGTCGGCGGTCTCCCCAAGCTATCCAGCCAGCTGACCATCGACAATGAAATCCGCAACTTTTTCAAGGGGTACAATGTGTACGTACCATATCCCTTGGTCATTTCGCTTCGCGCAAGACTGAATTGTTCTGACTGATATATCCTCTCATGTAGCGAGGCGATAAGCAAGCTCATCTCACCGCACCCGTCCAAACGGTTCGAACCCGGGAACCATTATTATCTTTTTGTTGATTTTGCGAGTGCCGATGAGGCATCTGCGGCCAAGGCCTCCTTAAATGGCCAAGAGGGCCCCTGGGGAGGTAAAATTAAAATTGGCCACGCTCGCGGGGAGTCGTGGAAGCCCGATGAGAGGAAAAACTGGGAGGCTGCTCGCGGGAAAGACTTGCCATCGACGAGCGCTGAGACGAGGGAAACGACAGCTGCTGCTGCATAGTTTGGAGGGAACATCTGCGATGTCATTACTCCGTATAGATTCTACCCTGGCTACAAAATCCCAGAGCTTCAAGTAACTACATACCTACCACTAAAAACCATCCCTTAACTGGATCTAGCCTTTTTTGGGCTTCTTCTTCTTCCTGGCATTTATCTTTCCTTTTCGGAAACAGCGGGTTTTCACCTTTGATTTATGTTGTTTCTACTCTCAATCATAGCTCACGATCCTCATGAATGACAGTAAAGTTGCTCTTTTGGCCCCGCTATGAGCGTGTCAACCAGAACTACAAGATTTTTTTTAAAAAAAAACGAAACTAATTTGAATTAATTTAGCGATTTCCATACGCTGCCTGAATGAGCAGTCTTCTAGGTGTAGTAGTAGAGAGTGAAGGTGGTAAGGTACCGTGGTAGCGCGAGCTTGGTAAATTTGCCGCAAAGTCAGCAACACCGCGGGGTGATGGAAGGCCGTGAGTTTGACCCGAACCTGGCTCTGCAACACACGAGTTCCGTTTTGACCTTTCTGCTCGTGAATAGCAAGAACCAAGATTCGTCTGCCTTCTTATTCACTTCGTTATCGCTCGACCCCCAACCACACCTGGCCTCACGCCCGCAGTGCCTGAGCTGTCGCCCCGCGGAAATGACGTTGAGATCCTTCACCGCATTGGAAGACGCGGCGAGCCGAGATTCGAGCTCCATCAGCCACATCGGAGGGCAAGTCGCATGTCGACAGTCCCGTATCTTTTTCGCATGATCTGAGTGGCACAGACCAACACCCTTCCACCAGATAGCAGAAGCAGAGTCCGGCGTCCTGAGTATTAACCACGAGATCTGTCCTGGAGTGACTCAATAGCAATACTAATCGCCGCGGAGCACCATAATCACGGCTGCCGGCATTTTATCTGATTCTCTCTCTTTCCTGGTCGTCTCCCCGCCTCCAGTTACACGGCATTCTATTGTGAGGTTCAATTGAACTTCTATCACCATGACCTCCGGCGACTCGGGTCGGAGAGAATCTGCAAACAAAATCTTCTTTGCTAGTGTAAGTGCCTGCTTTTCTTGAGTGGCGGTTCTGTCTCCGTATTCTATTCTATTCCATTCCATGCCTTGGAAGAGTTCCCCTCACACATCATGTCTTTTCATTTCCGTGCCGGCTGTATGCCCCGTTTCCGGTTCTCGCATTATTGCATGATATTTTGCCCTTGATATTCTCTCCTCTTCCGGATCTGGAACCATCCCTGCTCGTTGCTCGTGCGGTCCGCTCGCTCTATGCCCAAGACCGCCTTGGAGTCGCGACCTGAGACTGCTGCGGCCGTGAAGGATGCTCTGGTGGACACAGCTGGCAAGCCTCGTATGATCTCCATTGGCCCGCACCAACGGCGCGAGGAGGCTCTGGCCTTGTGGCGGGACACCCGAGCAGGCGGTGTCTCGGCCCCGGGAGAGCGACGGAGAGCGGCTGCTCCCCTCACCGGCGCCCCTGTTGAGCAGACGCGACGTCTCGGGACTCCCTGTTTGGACAAAAGGCTATGCGGGGATTCCCATGCGCCATCTTACAGAGGCGGTGTGCTTGACCCGATTGTCGCAATCTGTGCCTTTCGCTGGCATCATCATGGTGGTCCTGCTGGCGCCAAACGGCAGAGCCCTCTCGATTAAGCGCGCCCGCAATGCCAGATATCCCAAGTTGGCTGTGTTCGAGTACGTGATGCGGGCGTGAATGGCCCAGTCGTCACCTCCGCCATGGATTCGAACTCCCGCGGGTTCCAGGCCTCCTTTCCTCGGCCTCGGAAGGATTGTCTCAGCGCTGGTAGCCTGGTAGTCAATAATTGCGGGGCGAGAAAAGACGGTCATCTAATTGTCCGCTGGATTCCGATCAATTATCGGGCACGTCCGACTGGCCATTCTCGACTTTTTTTTTTCCCGGACAAAATGCTCCTGTGGATCATGTCACGATGGGTGGAGAATATCTGCGGGTTGAGAGTAAACACCAGAAATGTTATCTCAACTACATTTCATCAAGACCTCGAGGCGGACAAGAGAACCGTCGACTTTCCTGCTCGTATTCTTTGTCCTTCCCAGGCAGAGTGCTGCCGCATTCGCACCATCCCTCCGCAGAAGGGGTTCGATTGAGAGAAACAAAGGGCATCCGTGGCTGGCCCCTTTATCAACGGCCGGGCAATGCTATACATAGTTCACGCGACCTATAGCACCGTCACCAAGGGCCATGATGCGTTCTAGCATACAAGTAATGATCCTTGATTGCGATTTCCCTTTTATTTCTCGCTTTCCGCTGTCAATGTTGCATCTCCTATAAGCCCTCATTGTACCCATCCTTTGTATTTCTTGGCCGTTCTGCTACGCTCTCTCTTCCAAGGCTTCCCGTCTTCCGTTGCATTAGCTTTTAGTCTCTTTGGCTCTCTTAGCACTCTCTGTTACATGCTCCCCTTTTCCTTAATAAAATCGAATCATGCCCATCATATCTGCTACGCTTTCGAAACAGAGAATTTCTCTTTTTCGGGAAGACTAACAAATTGGGTGTACAGTCTGATGACACCAAGATCTGCGTTGTCATGGTCGGCCTCCCGGCCAGAGGCAAGAGTCTCATAGCAGGGAAAGGTATGTAATTGGAAGACTGCTCTCATCATATATCTTTTTTTTCTCCCCTTCATGACTCCTTGCAATTTCTCAGATCCTAACAAGCGAGGGACAGCTATGCGCTATCTGGCATGGGTCGGCATCTCCGCTCAGATCTTCAATGTAGGCTCGTATCGCCGAAAAATCTCGCCGCATCCAGTCGCTGAGTTTTTCGATCCGTCTAATCCTGAAGGGGAGAGGATGAGACGAGCAGCTGCTGAAGCGGCCATGAACGACATGCTCAAGTGGTTCCGGGAGGGACGTGGTGTGGTCGCCATCCTAGACGCGACCAACTCCACCAAGGCCAGAAGAGCCTGGATCCACAAGTGTTGTGCAGAAGAAGGCATCGAAACCCTATTCGTGGAATCGTGCTGCGACGACGAGGAGATCATCATGAACAATATTAAAGAGGTCAAGACGACATCACCAGATTACCAAGGACAGGACCCCGAGGTTGCCGCCCAAGATTTTCGTAACCGTATCCGCAATTACGAAAAGGTGTATGAAACCATTGACGAAGATGAGAAACATTACACCTACGTCAAGCTGATCAATGTTGGTTCGACGGTCATCATCAACAACATCAAAGATTACCTGTCGAGCCGACTAGTCTATTACATCCAGAATCTTCACATCAAACCTCGCTCCATTTGGCTGTCTCGGGTAAGTTGCTATTTCGCTCCACTTCATGACGTATGACTAACGATTTGGTATAGCACGGAGAATCCGAGTATAATCTCGAAGGCAAGATTGGCGGTGACTCGGACATCTCCTCTCGCGGTGAGGCCTATGCCAGGGCCCTTCCAGGGCTTCTAAGACAGTCCGGCGTTCCACCTGGTGCCAAATTGACAATTTGGACCTCAACCCTGAAGCGGACGATTCAGACGGCTCGCTATCTTGCAGCCGAGATGGGTTACGAGAAGCTCGAGTGGAAAGCGCTGGATGAGCTCGACTCTGGGGTCTGCGATGGCTTGACATACGAGCAAATTGCGGAAAGGTATCCCGAAGACTTTGCGGCCCGAGACGAAGACAAATACAACTACCGCTATCGCGGTGGTGAGTCGTACCGAGATGTCGTCATCCGCCTCGAGCCCATCATCATGGAGCTCGAGCGCAGCGAGAACGTGATCATCGTCACCCATCAGGCGGTTTTGCGGTGCATCTATGCGTATTTCCACAATATGTCCCAGGAACAGAGTCCGTGGATGGAAGTTCCCCTTCATACGCTGATCAAGTTGACTCCCCGCGCATACGGCACGGAGGAACAACGCTTCAAAGCCAACATCCCGGCAGTTTCTACTTGGCGTAGCAAAGGGAGCTCCGCGAAACATCAAGCACCTGCCGAATCAAAAGCTTGAATCATCGCCTGGAATCAATTCCAACAATGTCCTTCCTACGCTAACGAGTTGCCCCGTTTTTTTGCATGTCATCATCTTCTTTTGCTATGGCTGTGCTTGCTTTTTTTTTCATGGAGTTTTGATTCCCCATATTTGTTTGATCTTCTCCGTGGTGAAACCTTGGTTCGACGTCCCTTCAACTCAGCCCGTTAATGAGTGGGTATCTGCATTTAACGAAGCTGTTTTCTATTCGAGATTCTGCCATCTTATAACCCTTCTCTTCTCTTCATTTTTATTTTTTTTCCCACTTGCTTTCTCTTTCTCTTTCTCCACTCTTCTCCCTTACTTTTTTTTCACCGTATTACCCTTTCTATACCTCAAGTTCTCTTATGACTGGCTGTGGCTTTGGCATTCATTCTTCTGGTATTAGTCTCTAGAAAAGGCATGGCGCGGCGTTGGACTCCAGCAGAAGGATGTGTTTGCGATCATGATCATGTTGCATACCATTGAGCGCTGTATGGCTCTGCTACTCTTTCTTCTTCTTTTTCCCATCCTCATCCAAACAGTTGCGCTTGCTGTCTTTTTTTAACGATTTGTACAGAAGACAAGGCAGACATAAAGGCACCTAAGAGCTTGAATGAGAATCCGCATAGACCTAGTTTTCATGGATGAAATCTGGCGAGACTCCAAATGTTTTATAATTGATACCAATCAGTAGAACAATAGACAGCTTTGGAAAGATGTGTTGCAGTCAACTGAATTGAACTGTACTCTGATGACTAATATCTTACTAAGCATGCAGCATTACGAGGCACGTCACGCATCCGACCTCCGCTGCCACTGGCAGCTGCACTGTTCTGGCAAACAGCAGCATGGCTCGTCCAGCTGCGTATTTCCGATCTGCTAGGGCTTCGTAGACAATGAAGCCTATGGGTGCTGTTCACTGTGAAGAGGTGGGATCCCGGCGCTGGCGGCAATCATCATGTTGTCCGCCTTCAAACCTCGACCGCTCGTCGAGCTCAAACCGCGCGACAAGTCCAAGATCGAATCGATCCTTGCCTACGGTGATCGCTTGCTCGTCGGATTGAATAATGGAAGCTTGAGGGTATACCGGATTAACGAAAGCTCGGGTGGTGAAGAGGGCGAGCCAGGGAGAAATAATGGGCATACGGCGGAGAATGCAGCCAGCACCCCCGTCAATAATAATGGCGACCAGGAGGAAGACCGTGGTGGTGGCCGGTCAGTGGCAGCTACGCCGCCGCCGCCGACACCCTCGGTCAAGCCCACGGATCTTTTGCGCGAACAGGAGAAGTTCTCCCGATATAAAATCGAACAGCTGGCTATCATCAAGGAAGCGAAGCTTCTGATTTCCCTGTCTGGGGGATACGTCTCCATCCACGATCTTCAGACCTATGAGCTGCAGGAACAGCTTACGCGAACCAAAGGCGCGACTTCGTTTGCGGTGACCTCGAATATCGTCAACGATCCGGAAACCGGTGTTCCGTCTATTGTATCCCGCCTTGCAGTTGCCGTCAAGCGGAAGATACTCTTGTGGTCATGGCATGACATGGAACTCAGCTCGGACACGGTGGAAATTACGCTCGTCAGTGGAATCAAGACTCTGACATGGGTCTCCGGGACAAGGTTGATAGCGGGCCTGAGCTCTAATTATGTCATGGTTGACATTGAAACTATGGAGCTCAAGGATCTGGTTGGACCTGGCAGCATTGGCGGTGGTCCAGGCCAGGAGTCGAGTCGACTGGGAGGAGTCGGTGTCGCCAGCATGAGCTACATCGGTATGGGAGGAATGGTTCCCAAGCCGCTCGCCACCCGACTCAGCGAGGGGCAGGTTCTGTTGGCGAAGGATGTCAATACCCACTTCATCGATATCGATGGTCATTCACTAGGTAAAAAGCAGATACCATGGAGCAATGCCCCCGAGGCTGTCGGATACTCGTATCCATATCTATTGGCACTCCAGGAACCCTCGAAGGGGACTTTGGAAGTGCGGAACCCAGACACGCTGTCCCTGCTTCAATCAATCTCCTTGCCTTCGGCAAATCTCCTGCATATTCCGCAACCTAATATCAGCCTTGCTCATGCCGGCAAAGGCTTCTTGGTGGGCAGTGACCGGGTGATCTGGAGGATGGAGGCTCTTAGCTACGACTCCCAGATCGATGCCTTGGTTGAAAATGGTCACCTAGACGAGGCAATCAGTCTCATTACCATGCTGGAAGATGCACTATTGAAGGACAAGGCCGGTCGGTTACGAGAGGTCAGGCTTCAGAAAGCCCAGAAATTGTTCAACGCACGGAAGTATCGGGACGCTCTGGATCTGTTTGCCGAGGTCTCTGCTCCTCCTGAGATCGTCATCAGTCTCTATCCTAGGATTATCGCTGGAGACCTCTCTTCTTTCGTTGAGGAGACTGAGGAACAGGACACGAGTGGGGATGACACCCCGAAGAAATCAAACGGCCTTCAAACACACACAGAAACACCTAGCACTGAAGATGCATCGCCGCTCAAGGCCTCTTATGCTCCGTCTCTGACGTCCTTTCTACGGGCCAAAACGGATGACGCCAGTGAGACAGGGAGCATTCGTGGAAAGCCAGTGGACAATGGTCAAAATGAAAAACGACTTGGTGTGTACTCATCTTTTCTTTCGACGTAGTTTTTAAGTTTTTTTTTTTTTACTGTACTTCCGAGCAGAAGGGAAAGACCTGAAAAACGCAGTTCGCGAGCTTCAAGGCTACCTGGCCGATGTTCGAAGGAGATTCCAACGCTTTCTGAACCCGGATGGGTCACTCAAAGCAGGATCTCTACATGCCAATGGGGAAATTGATAAGTTCGAGGAGTCTGTGAGGATGTTGCTGGGCCTGTCCAAGGATGCCGAAAGCCCCGAGTTCGAGGAGAAGCTGCGAGAAACAGCGAAACTGGTCGATACAACCCTATTCCGAGCCCATATGTACGCAACGCCCTCCTTGGCCGGCTCTCTTTTCCGCATCGCCAACTTCTGCGACCCGGATGTGGTGATGGAAAAGCTCGAGGAGAGCGGGCGCCATAATGAACTTATCGATTTCTACTTTGGAAAGAAGATGCATCGCCGTGCCCTGGAGCTCCTTCGGAAATTTGGTCAGTCCTCGGAGGAAGAGGACAGTCCTCCCCAACTGCGCGGTCCCAAACGCACGGTGGCCTACCTGCAGCACCTGCCGCCAGACATGATCGATCTCATCCTCGAATTCGCGGAGTGGCCGCTCCGGGTCGATCCTGAGCTGGGGATGGAGGTATTTTTGACAGATACAGAGAACGCAGAGACCCTGCCTCGACAGCGCGTCGCCGACTTTTTGCAAGGGATCGATACAACTCTCGCTGTCCGGTATCTCGAACATGTCATCGACGAATTGAACGAGATGAGTCCGGATCTCCATCAGAGGCTGCTTCTGCTCTACCTGGAACGGCTGATGAAGCACAAAGATGGAGAGTGGAAGTTCGAGAGTGAAGACGCCTTCCTGGCGTGGAGAGGGAAGCTCTTGGAGTTTTTGAAATCTAGTTCTCAATATTCTCCCGCTAAGATGCTGGATCGTCTTCCCCGCGATGGTGAGTTGGATTTTTTCCCCCCCAGAGATCTGCTTTTGTTACGTGTCTGACAAAATCAGACCCGGACTTCTACGAAGCCAGAGCGATTGTGTTTAGTAAGATGGGCCAGCATAGGCAGGCTCTGGAGATTTACGTCTTCAAGCTCAAGGATCCCGAAAAGGCGGAAGAGTAAGTTGGACTTCTTTTTTTTTTCGCCAAGAGCGCGACGGTGCTTGGAATTTGCTAATGTGCTTCTAGATACTGTAATCATGTTCATCGAACGGAAGAGACAAGTACGGCAGAGGCAGCTCCCTTGCAATGCTTTGCGCCTACCGACGCCGAGGACGCCAAACCATCCATTTACTTGACCTTGCTGTCCCTCTATCTCTCGCCCCCGCATGGCTACGAGCCGCAATACGGCCCTGCACTCGATGTCCTGGCCAAACATGGCTCCCGCTTACCGGCGAATTCGACCCTCAACCTGATCCCCGAGACGCTTCCGGTGCGAGAACTCGAGTTTTATTTCCGCGGCCGGATGCGGGCCGCCAACTCGATTGTGAACGAGGCACGGATCGTTGCCAATCTGCAGAAAGTGCAGAACATTAAGACACAGGCCCAGCTGCTCCTTGGAGAAGGCCTGCCCGGCGATAACAAAGCGCGGAGTCGCCATGTCACCATCACCGAGGAGCGAGTGTGCAGGATCTGCCATAAGCGGCTTGGAGGGAGCGTTATCAGCGTGTTCCCAGAGTACGTCACGTCTGCCCCAAACATAAGTCCGACTGTGCGATCTGCTGACCGTTATTGCAGTAATAGCGTCGTTCACCTTGGTTGTGCGAATCGTATGAATGCCTCTACATAGAGACTTGATGGAAGATTTTTTTTTCGCTTTTCTCTTTTTCCTTTCCTAGGTTATTTCATTATGGAAAGATGGCCACGTCAATTTTTTTTCGGCCCGTTGTTTTGTGTCGGGCGTTGATGAGAGGCTGTGATCCTGCTTTAGACATCTGGTGCACTCGAGCAGGATGTGTTTTGTGCGAATTGATACCCCTGGTAGTGTGAAGTCCTTGTTTTATGACCCCGAACACGGCCCCTTCTCACTGTTTCTGCCCCTAGTATCACTGCGATACGCCCCGTAGGCTGTAACATGACGTTGAGCCCGGTTGTGCCTATGGAATGATGCTGCAGGGTACAACTGGGCCCGAGTCGAGCTGCGAAACATGCTCTCCGCTCTGCATGCGGAAGACATGTCTATTGACCGTTTTAGGCATCATCTTCCACATTCTCCTCCCCGTAGTTCTCCTCCTCTTTGGCCTCTCTCTCGCTGTCCTTCAGTCCCTGCCCCTGCGCTTCTGCTGCCTTCTTGTCCTCCTCCATGCGCTCTGTAAGAAACGCGTTGATCTCGCCCTGCATTTTTGTCACCAGGCCTCTCAGCTCGGAGAGATAGGCTTTCTTGGCCGCGACAGAGCCGTTGATGTCCAAGGGAGCGCTCACCGGATGGTGGAAGGTCTGCGAGGTCGGCGGATGCGGGGACGAGTAGGAGGCGTGGAGGGAGACGGCTGGCGTCTCTGACGATGGCTGTGGAGCAGGCGCCATGATTGATGACTCGTATTGTGTGCGAGGTAGCGTTGTTCGCTCCCAGGGTGTTCCGGGTAAAGATTGCAATTGTCTTCGTGGAGATGGAAGGAAAAAGAGGGTTGAAGAGGGGCTCCGATCCCGTTGCGGTAACCCGGCATAGACTACTAAGAGACTAAGAGCAAGGCCAGCGAACTGAGCCCGAGCCGCCGGACTGGCCGCTTAGTTCACTTAATTGAATTAACTAGTGCACGTAGGCAGTTAGTTAAGAGCAATGACGGGGACCCCAGCAGCGGTTTCAGGCTTGTTGGCTCAGCTGGAGCTTCTTCGCTGCATTGACGTATTCGCGAGTGAGACAGTACGGAGAGTGGTACTGGACCTGCCCCGGCTCGTCTCCATCCCTCGCCCGCCATCATTCCCCTCCACCCCGATTCCGATTCCTAGATGCGCGCGCGGCCGAGCATGCCGCTCTGAGTGATCGTCCTGCATGACTGCTCGTTGCCTGGGGACGGTTACACTCACTGCCACTGGCTCACGATGAATCCCACGCCCGTCCCCCGCCGGCCTGAGCTGCGGGCTTCTCCCCTGCCAGACAGCAACAGCAGCCATCCTCCCAAGTCCCAGGAAGACTCCCAGACCCGTCCTGCTTCCTCCGATAGCGATGTCTCCTCCGCATCGTCGAATGTGACGACTCTGTCCCGCCCCAAGGGCACCGTATACAGCAGCCCCAATCCCAAGCCAACGTCTTCCCCTCATCCACCAAGAACCTCCTCGATCACTGCCTCCACCACCACCAACGGCAACGCCTCGCTGCCCACTGTGGCTGCGCGATCGTCTGCTGCCTCCTCGAGGGCGCCGAACGACCCTCAGGGCAACCGATCCCCGCGTGCTGCTCCACAGGAGCCGCAGAAGCACCGTCGACAACACTCCCAAGGCTTCTTCGAGCCTACCCTTCCCACCGCAACTCTCTCGGACCACAACTCCAGCATGTCGAACCTTACAGCGTCGCAGATCGCTGCCCAGGCTGCCATGCAGCAGACGGCCCAGCACCTGCGACATCGGTCTCAGACCATCCCTAACTTCAACAACGACGAGGGGTCCAAGAACCGGAAAGGAAGCCAACAAGATTCTCCGCCTCCGGCACAATCGACAGCGGGTCCAGCAGGAGGAGGAGGAGGAGGAGGATTCTCAGAAAAGTCGTATCAGAACGGTTTGGTGGGAGGCCATGTGCAGGCCGCGACAACCGCGGCCAACGTGGCTTTTCCTCGAAGCCCCGGCCCCTCTGCTGCGGCGCAGCCCGAACAACAGCAGAGCACCGAACGCGACCACAAGCACAAGGGCGAGAAGTCCAAGAAGAAACTGTTTTCGAAACCCAAGCACATCGGCATTTCGCGAGACAAGGACGGCGCAGGCAAGGAGAAGGGGCAGCCGTCCCCCAGTAAGCTGGGCTTTGGGGGATCCGGCGGGTTGTCCCGCATTGTCAGTGCATCTTCGACGAGTTTGGTGGACACGACGTCCTCGAATAATTCGATGTATAATCTGTCCAACGCTTCGGCAACCACGGTGGTTCCGGCGGACAAGCACGGTGGTGAGAAGGAGAAAGAGAAGGAGAAGGAGAAGGAGAAGGAGAAGGACAAGGAGAAGGTCCACAAACACCATTTCTTATCTCGACAGAAGCTCAAGCTCAAGGATGACCACTACAATCTCCCCCTGTCCTCGGCGTCCAGTAACTCCAAGCCATTGGATCCCAACGCACCGCAGTCTCTCTACAATTTCACGCCGTCCTCACCCGGCCCGTCAGCTACCGCATTCGGGAAGTCAGTGGGTGGGCTGGATCTGCTGCACGGTGGACGGCGGGAGAAGAAGCGGGAAGAGAGAGCGCTTGCGTCGGGGCTGGATTCGAATAAAGAGGCCGATCAGGCTGAGTTGTCCAACAACGCCGGTGGCGGTGGTGGACAGAATGCATTCCATGGACCGTCTTCTCTGGGAAGCTCAGCTAGCATCTTAGGTGATGCCGCCGTGCGGGAGACTCTCCAAGGGTTTGGGCTCCAGAATATGACGACGGAAGACGTCTGGGACTTCCTCAAGGCGAAGCTGCTGGTCATATTCGACGGGGAGGACGTGCGCATTGCGATAGAGGACCTGAATAAGCTCGTGTTGATTCACCTCCAGCGCTGCATTCAGCAACGCATGCCGTCAGTCATCGTGGAGGATCTGCGGGACCTTCTCCACACCGGTTTCTCGTCGTTGAATCACTCCATCAGCAACGTGCCTGACGAGAAGTTGGTTCCGCACCTCGTGCAGATATGGATTCTCGTCTTCGGCACGATTTTACCGTTCATCCAGGCGGTCTTTCTGCCTCTGGACCTGGAGTTCAAGGGCCGCGGTTCCTTGATGAGTGTCCGCGAAGCTAAGGAGTTCTGGGGCGCATTGCCCAATGGAGACTCGTCCGAAGCCTCGATCGGTGATGAACTTGATGTACGGACCATCGTGCTGGTGGCCTTCCGGGATACGGTGATTCTACAGCGCTACGAAGGCCTCAAGGCGACGTTCTCTCGCCTAAGTCTGGACAATATCAACGCGGATGTTAGAGCGCTAGGTGCCGGGTCTAACAGCAGCAATAGTGGCGGCCGTCCGGGGACCGCGACGTCCCTGGATCCCGGTCTGAGCAGTTTCAATTCCCAGTCGTCTACTCTTTTGAACGCCGCGGGCAGCTACTCGTCCGACTCGGCGAGCGCGACGCGCAGTCGGGCGACCTCGAACACATCGTCGAATCCGGATCAACTGATCTTCCAATCCTTGGCCTCGCCGTCGCAGCATTCCCTGTACGCCGCTCGCTCCGCTCAGGCGGCGGATTCGTCCCACGTCATTACGGAAACGGTGGGACGCATGCTGCAATGCCTCAGCGTGCTAGCCAGCATCCAAAGCGGGGACGAAGCGCAGGAACGCATTGAAACGCTGAACAAGGCGCTGAAACACAACTGGCTTGGTCGCGGCCGGACAGGACGAGACCGAAGAGGGTTTGTCGGGACGAAAATCCGGCCGAGCACGAGCCTTCGCCGGCAGAGCACCGACGACGACGAGTCTGCGAGCGTGAAAACGAACGGCAGCAGTGTGGTGCCAGTGAACAATTCCCATTCGAGGAATTCGAGCACGAGTAGTATGCTGTGAAGAAAGACACTTTCTTGGTTGGTCTCTACTTACTTACTTACTTACTTGTACTGTACATTACAAACCACAAACCTTCTGATGAGAATTACTTAGGTATTTTTGTTTTTTGTCTGGTGGGAAGGAAGGCCGGTGCATTCTTACTAACTGGACTGGACTGGACATGCATGTGGCTGGTGACACGATTTTCAGTTCAGTCAAGCCAGAATGATATACATGAGTAACTAACTCGCTATACTTGCTGTGCTGTGCTATACTATACTATACTATACTATATACCCTTGTCCGATCAAGCCCTGGCTTGACGTGCTGGGAGAGATCGAGTTCAACATCTCTGTCGAAATTGCATTTAAGAAATGCAACTTTGTTGATTCGATCTCTTCCCGATTTATATGGGTTAGCATATCATCATACCTATATATGTGTGCATGTCTGTATGATCATGAATGAAAAGAGAGAAAAAAAAAAGCAGTGTTATCTTAATGATTTCCTACGGTTTCTGATTATAGTAAAAATCTTTTTTAGGGTCTATTGTTTTCTTCTGACTGGTGTTATCACCACTTCAGATTTTTTTTGCTACTTCTTTCCTCAAACGTTGGTACAACATTTCCTATGTCCGGCTACCTGATGTTCTCTTTCTTCTATCCCTGCAAGACAAGACGAAAGACAAGTGTGCTGACCCAGGTACTGAAAAGGTTGAAACAAGAAAGAAGAAAATAAAATGAGACAGACAAATGGAAGGAAACACAATGACAATGCGTGCAGGTGCTCTGTTTCATACAGGTCTGTCTCCATCGCACAGCAACCTACGCCTCATCGTCAGCGACTTCCTGGACATATTCTTCGACCTTGACGTTGACATTGCCATTGCCATTGCCAGCCTGCATGCTAGTCGCAGTACGGCCCTTGCTCAGCTCCTTGAACTTCTTCAGACACGACGCCGGAGGGTACTGGTCTCCTCCTTTAGCCACGATAGCAGCAGCAATCTTGGTCCATTTCTCTGCCTCGAATTTCTCTTCGATTTCCTTCTTGGCTTGAAGGAGTCTCTCCACCTGAAAGATAAGAAAAAAAAAAGAAAGAGTCCAGGTCAGAAGATCCTTTTCTCGTCAAAGGTTTGCTTGTGATTAAACTAGACTTACGTCTTCATCCTTGAAAACCGCCAAATTGGCCCTCAGGCGACTGTAGCGCTTGCACAGAGTCCCCGACGCGGTTTTCACTCCCGTCATCGCCTCCCACGCGGTGCTGATCTCTGCCCAGCTTTTGCCTTCGACTTCGCGCATGCGGATGAGCATGCGGTCTTCCTTGCTGGCGGACTCGTACGAGATGGAGATTTCTTTTTTCGGGGTGGTTGCACCGGAACGAGTAGTAGTCTTGGTCTTCTTTGAGGGGGTGGTGGTTTGCTTGTTCTCGAGCTCGGTCTCGTTCTCGTCCTCCTCGGCTTCTGCTGAGGTCGTCGGGTTGGTGGCAGTGTTTGTGGGAACGGCCTTCTTGCGACCGCGTTTGCGGGGAGTTGGGGTTGGAGTCGCGTCAGTGGTATCAGGCTGTATACAGTATTAGTATTGATAGGCAGTGAACAGGGTTGCTTCTGAAATGTATGTGATGCAGCTAGATGTGCATGCAGTATGTACCTCCTGGCTGCTTTCAACATCAACATCTCCTTCCATCTTGATATCATCCATGGTGACAGTATCGTCAGAAACCTCCAGTTTCACATTCTTGCTCAGCTTGTGGTTATCACCAGCAGGGATAATACCATTGCCAGCAGCTGGGTTTGTCTTGTTCATGTTGATGGGGGTGAATGGTGGCATTTATTGTCACGTCAACCCTGCAGATGTCTTTCATCAGATAAGTAAGGAGTATGTGAGAGAAAGAGAGGCAAGTAAGGCAAGAGAATAAAAAGCAAACTACTTACTTAGTTAGATGCCTTGGTAGGAATAGCAATAGAAATGTAAGAACTCTTCAGATGTGAGGTGTGCGGTATGCCATGCAAAGAGATGATAGTAGAAGTGAGGGATAGTAGAAGAAGAGATCGCGTCCAGAACTAGGAAGAAGCCGAATCAAAAATCCCTTAAGGTAGGTAAGTTGACTTGAGTGTTTATTTACAGCACGATAGCAAGCAAGCACATAACTACCTAGGTAGATATAACTGACTGCGCTACACTGCGATAACTTGACTTAATTCACATTGCAGACTAGTTAATAAGTACAAGGGAGTGACAGATAATTCCCTTCTATTCTGTCATCATTTCCTAGCAGTGACCTTTCTAGAGATCAGATGAAGAATGATCTCATCTCAGGGCAGTGAATATATGTACTGTACAGAATGTAGCCATATCATGCGGGAAGAGCTGGAGAGCTAGATAGCAACACAGTACCTGAGTATGTCAGCCATATTTAATATATCGATGAGATGAAAGTGAAGGAAGGATGTGATAAGAACAAAGATTGCTTGTATCGATTATATAGCTGTGGTATTCCCTGATTTGGCAAAGTTTCTCTTTCAGAGTCTGATCTACAGAGTAAGAGATTAAATCAGATTAGGTTGGCAGGACCTTGTTTTCCTTGGTACATACATAGCAGGTAGGTACCTCATTCATACTTTTTATTATTTCATGAAGTTGCTAGCAAGAAAGTATTATCTATCTCTGTTCAGACATAATATACACAGTACCAATCTTATCAGTATTAACCTTGATGCTCTGTTATTCCTCTCCTTAATAAGGGACAGGATTTAGGTAGGATTAGATGCAGATGGATCGAGTCTTGATTGATTAAAAGAGGGGGAAATAAGAGCCGGTGTTCGTGCTTCGATCACTCGTCTTGCAGGATTAGTTTCTGCAGACTTGATCAACTGCAGCCAGGTACAGCTGTGTTCTTTCTGGGGTAGTATAGTCGAATCCCCACATCTGCCTGGTCATATTTCTTGAACAGGCATGACATCTTCGAGATAGGCGCATATAGATACCGGGGACAGTCATCGTCCAATGCGCTCTTCCTGTCCTACTTATCTATCACATCAGCATGTACAGTACAGAGTACATGCATCTCTGTACTCCAGACAGGATCCATTCCATTGGCGACAGGCGAGATCGCCTTGCAGAGGCGCTGCAGGTCTGGAACACTGAGTTCGCATCCAGACGGACGGGCACTACAGCATCACTTTGAATCATCCATGCACGCCTAGATCGAGGGAAAAGTCGGTGTTGTCTCCGCTGCCAATAAGACTCGCAGCGCGCTGAGTGGACCGTGGTTTACAGTTACCTCCCTGGCCGATTTCTTTTTGTATGTGAAACCGATCGATTCACGGCTGCCAGGTTGATCCCATGGAACACTGAAAGACAGCCGTGGGAGGCAACAAAGGGGAAACAAGCTTGCTCGTCGCTTGAGTCACAGAGTGATCGCCAGGCAGGCTAGCTAAGACACGAACGGTTCCTGGCTGGCCAGTGACATCTGCCGCCTGCGATGCGGAGTTCTTTCAGCCTCGCGCGCGGCATCATCCATCGAAGGGGCCTTGCAGCGCGTGTGGATGCCCAGCAGCACTGGCGCAGCCAAAGAGAACACTGCAGCGCCCAATGAGTGGTCTGCAGACAGACAGGCAGCATTGATGCCTCGCCAGCTGGTGCAGCGCGCTTGTCAAAGACGTCCGGCTGCCTAAAGCGACAGACAGGCCATAAATAGCTTGTATATCCTCGGATCGCAGCGAATCTTCTCTCCAGCTTCTCTCTGGCCTGGCAGTGACTGGCTGCTGGCTCACCGCCCGGACAGCGCATTGTGCAACCTGCGTTCATTCACGACGGTGAGTTCTGGCAGGCCGCACAACGACCACCTCTCTTCTCCTCACTCCGCACAATGGTTTGACTTTCTCTTCGCGTTGATCGCAAGTTGACCTTTCCAGGTGATTATGCCTGTTGAGCCAGACGCCAGCGGCACCCAGCAAGCCTCTGCTCAGCCCGACCGCTATCCTGGCCCAGAGTCTCCTACCCCAGGCTTCATGCCGCCTGAAGCTCCACAGCGGCCCACCGACCAGCTCCAGCACGACCTAGAATCCGAAGCTATTCGCGCCAACATGTCGGAGCCCGCAGCCCAGCAGTCGTCAACGACCCCGTCGACTGCGGCTGCTGCAGCATCCCCATCAGCCAAGGAAGAAGTAGGGCTCCCACCAGAAGAGACAGTGCCAAAATCAGAAAGCAAGACGGGAGCTGCTGTGCCTGAGAATGCCACCAAAAAGCCCCATTGCAAGAAGCCCGTCAGTAAGCATGCTACCGCCAAGAACAAGGCTGGTAAGAAGGCCAAGAAGAGCAAAAAACAGAGCAAAGAAAGCTCTTCTTCCAGCGACGACGATACCACGTCTGACGACGAGTCGGATGACATCTCCGACTTGAGCGACTCGGAATCAGAAGACTCTGAGAGCGACGACAACGATACCGATATCAGCGACTCGCCCAAGCACAGCAGGAAACACAAGACCAAAACCAAAGTCATCAAATCTAAAAAGAAGAATAAGAAGAAAAATACGCGCGCACAAGGAGGACGACTATTCCGATACCGAGTCCTACGAGAGTAGTGATGATGAGTCCTCTTCTCTAGACGAAAAGGCTCGTAAGAAAGCTGCTAAGAAGCGCAAGGCCAAGAAGAAGGCCGCCAAGAAGCTTCGTTCCAAGGAGTACTCGTCCGACGACTCAGAGGAGGACGAAGAGGAAGAAGAAGATGCAGCGTCGGAGGAGAGGGCGATTCTGCGGGCCAAAAGGCTGGCCTCCCGTTTGCGCGAGAGACGCGCTCGTCTACATGCCAGGGGGAAAGGATCGAGCTTGAAACGAATTTCGTCAGACAGCCAGAGTGATGGGCTCAAGGTTAGCGGTCATAAGAACAAGAGCAAGAAGAAGAGGGCTTCCAAGGTTGCATTCAAGCGGGTTGATGAGCGTAAGACGCCTCTGCCTTTACGAGCACACAAAGATCTGTCGCTAATACGGATGATACACAACAGTGTGGGACAGCACTATCCACAACTACAAATTGACAGAAACCAGGGATGACCCCGGTGCGAACGAGTTTGACCAGTACATCTTTACAGTGCGTCGCAAGTTTGACTGGGAGAATAAGTACCAGGAAACGGTCGTGGACATCAAGAGCAAGCCCCTGCGGGATGCGCTGGCCAAGGTCATGGACGGGGTCAAGGGCGTGAGCTTGGTGCAGGAAACGCCGGTCGTCGACCCGAACATGCTCTTTCTGTACCTGGAAGAGACCCGGGCGTACATGAAAGAGCTGAAGAAGCTCGCCAGCACGGAGAAAAAGAAGCGGGCCAGGAAGCTGGCAGCGACCAAAGCGGCGCATCTCAAGGTCCTCGTCAAGTACCTGGACACCGACTACGCGGAGACCAAAAAGACCCTCTACCCGCTGCTCGAGTCCAACATGATTACCTTTGACCTTCTCTGGGCGCTGTTCAAGCCCAACACGATTGCCTACACGTCCACCTACGGCAATGCAGATGAGCCCCGCGCCTTCAAGATCGAGTACGTCAGCAAGGAGTCGTCCTTCATGAAGGGCCAGTGGTATGTTATTGAGGGCCGGTACCTGGAATACGACGGCAAATCGTTCGGCATGGGCACCATGGCGGCAGAGGTCGAGTCCTTCAAGGGGGCTCGCAAAATCACCAGTCTGGCCTGCTACCCTCTGAAATACCACCGGGAGGCGGACGAACTCAGAGCCAAGCTCATCGAGCGAGGCAAGAAGTTCGTTGCTCTCCGGGGCATGAACTATCGCTTCCACAAGGGCATGGCCTTCTTCAAGAAGAAGCGGTCCATCATCAAGGTCAACATCAACGGACGAGTCATGATCGACCCGGCCCTGCACCGTCGCATCAACCCCAACTACCCCATCAGCACGGTCCGGCCGAAGGATCCCGACATCCTCAACTCATCGTCTGACGAGGACGACAGTGATGTCGGAGGCTGCTGCGGTGGAGGATCCGATTCGGGCACGGACCGGGGGAACCTGAGCCATGGTGAATCGGAGCGGACCAGGCCGAGATACAAGGTCGTCCGTGACAAGAAGGGCAAGGCGCATGTGGTCGAGATTGAGGTGGACGACAACGGCAACGAGATCCAGAAAGAAGACATTGACAAGATCGACAGCGACGCCAAGGACGATGTCTCGGAGCCCGAGTTCAGCGAGGAGGAGCTTCTCATCGCCAGCCCCGTCGTGCTGGGGTTTGCCTTCAGCGAGAAACTTTGGCTGGAGTTCACCGTATCCGGCATCACCGAGATCGAGTGGAACGAGGGCGCCTTCGACTCGCTCGTGCTGCCGGACAATCAGAAATCGATCGTCCGGGCTCTGGTGGAATCGCACACGTTCCACGCGGCGCAGAACATCGACGATGTCATCCAGGGCAAGGGCAAGGGTCTGGTTGCGGTGCTGCACGGGCCGCCGGGGACGGGGAAGACGCTGACGGCGGAGGGCATCGCGGAGCTCCTCAAGCGGCCGCTGTACATGGTGAGCGCGGGCGAGCTGGGGACCGACTCGCGGACGCTGGAAGGCGAGCTCAACAAGATCCTCGACATTGCGCACTCGTGGGGCGCGGTCCTGTTGCTCGACGAGGCGGACGTCTTCCTGGAGAAGCGCACGATCCAGGACATCCACCGCAACGCGCTCGTCAGCATCTTCCTGCGGCTGCTCGAGTACTTCCAGGGGATATTGTTCCTGACGACGAACCGGGTGGAGACGTTCGACGACGCGTTCCAGTCGCGCATCCACATCGCATTGCGCTATGGCGATCTCACGACCAAAGCCAAGCGGAGCGTGTGGAAGATGTTTCTGGACAAAGTGCGCTCCATCGATGGCGTCGAGACTGCGACATTTACCGACAAGGATTTGGATGCGTTGGCACGGCATAATCTGAACGGACGGCAGGTGTGTCTACATCATCTCATAAATACATCTATCTCATTCTCAGATATTATGTGATCGTCGATAACTAACCTGCTTTTTTGTATATAGATCAAAAACTCCGTCCGCACCGCCCAAGCACTCGCCGTCAACGAAAAAACCGCCCTGTCAATGTCCCACATCAAGCGCGTCCTGGAAGTCGCCGAGACGTTCGATCACGATCTGCGGGGAGGAACGGGATACATGGATGCGATGAGGAGTTACACGTAGATCTAGAACTGGTGGTGGTGGCATCTACAACGTGGTATTTTTTTTTGCTCTTTCTGGCTGGAAAATTCCTTTTTTACCCTTTACGCCTGTTCGTCTTCGTCTTCTGGTTCTGGTTCTTGTTCTGGATTTGACTCGATTTGACTTGATTTGACTTATTCTACTATTATTACCCCCTGTTTACTCCACGCACCGTCCTACCTCCGTCCCCCTCCCACCGTCCTCTTCATCGTCATTCTCATCAAACTACATACATACATACATACATGTTCCAGTCGAGTGCATACACGTATGTATGTATGTATGTACCCCCCTCCACCCCCTTCACCTCCTTTACCTACCTACCTACTTACTTACTTACCTTTCCCTATCTATTTTGCCTCTGCATGCATGTATGTACTGTACACGGCACAACAATCATGTACTGTATGTACACCATCATCATCGTCATCATTATCAATCAGCATTAAGTAATTGGTCTTGTCCTGTCATTGTCCTGTCCTGTCATGTCCTGTCATGATATGATACAATATGATATTGATATGTTATGATATGAGAGGAAAAAACATTCTTACATGAAATAAAAAAATAACTAAGGGTTTGTTGGTAATGAACAACAGTTCTTCTTCTTCCCTCTTCCTCCTAAGTCCTAAGGCCCCCCCCCCCCCACCAAAAAAGGAACAAAGCTCAAGTCCGTCTCAGAGCCAGAAGCCAGATTATATATACATATGCATGAAACAACCATGTACCAGTACGAGTCTTGCTTAAGCAGAGGTTGGGCTAGTTGGTATTATATATCACTTACTTATTCCTGCTTCGTAGTTGTTTTTAGTAGGAGGTGACTAGGTCCAGGCATCTCTATACTCCATACAGCTGTATTCTGTATGTACCCTATGTATGTATGCTTGTCATTCTTTCTTGTTGACTGATTGATCCATTTCTCTAATTAATTGGATTTGAATCGTCTAGGCAAGCGGTTGCTACATGTGCTTGTTCCTGCCTCTGTCTGTCTCTCGTCTATGCCCACACCTACTATTAAAAAACTACGAGTAATAAGGACAATTGGAAAATATTAGGTTGGTTGTTGTTAAGATATTCTTTGTTTTCTAATGAAACGTCACGTAGAAACTGTTTTACATCGTTAAAGGGACACAGTCAGAGACAGATACACACAGTGGCACAATTGTGGTTGTGTGCGAGTTTATTATTAATGGATATCGTTTAAGGGTTGTTCTTGACGAAGTCGATACCTGGAAAAAAAAATCGTTAGCCTCCTGAATAGGCTGTGCCAGCCAATGCAGCTGACTCACCCTTCTGGATGTTCTTCTTGAGGTCGGCAAAGGCAGCCTCGAGCAACTTCTCCTCGTACGGGGAGACCTTGCCAACCGGCAGGACCTTCTCGGCACCGTTCGGGCCAAGCTCGACGCGGGAGGCGAAGAAGTCAATGCCCTGGTCCTTGTACAGAGGGCTGTCGACAAAGCTGGGCTCGACAACGCCCTTGACGCCCGAGGCCGCCTTGAGCAGAGACTCGGCGAAACGAGCACCGGCGAAGGCCATGGAGAGGGTGGCAGAGCCAGCGCCATCCTTGGCCTTGACGACCTCGTCACCCCCGAACTGGATGCGGTTGACCAGCTTGTCACGGGTCTCGCCCTCAATGTCGGGGTGGTTGGACTGGGAGATCAGAGGAACGATGGTGACGCCGGAGTGGCCACCAACGACGGTCACCTCCTCGTTGGCCGGGTCGGTGTTCTTGACCTCGGAGATGAAGCGCGAGGCACGGACAACGTCCAGGGTCGTGACACCGAAGAGGCGCTTGGGGTTGTAGACACCCTTGGACTTGAAGACCTCGGCAACAATGGGGACAGTAGAGTTGACCTGCTCATGTTAGAACGCACCGGCGAAATAGATTGAACGTCGTGCAAGCTGGTATGGATGGCACTTACAGGGTTGGAGATCACCAGGATGTTGGCGTTAGGAGAGGCCTCAGCAGCAGCCTTGGCGAGGTCACGGACAATAGAAGCGTTGGTGTTGAAGAGGTCTATTCAACAGCAAATTAGACAGACTCCGGCAGCTTAACTGCACAATCCCATTCCATACCGTCACGGGTCATGCCGGGCTTGCGAGGAACACCGGCGGGGATGAGGACGATCTCAGAGCCCTTGAGAGCATCCCGAAGGCCTTCGGGAGTGGGCTGATAGCCAGTGACGGTGCTGTTGGTGTTGATGTGGCTCAGGTCAGCAGCGACACCTGTACGATAAGAGTTCTCTCGTCAGCTTGATTTCTGGCAAGAGTTTGTATGCGTCTGTGCTCGCGAGTGGAAGTTACCAGGGCCTCCGCGGATGTCGTAGAGAGCGAGCTCGGTGACGCGAGGGTTGAGCTTCATCAAGAGAGAAAGGGGCTGGCCAATGCCACCAGCGGCACCAAGGATGGCGACCTTGGAGGACTGCAACGCTCAACGTCAGCAACTGGTGGTCGTGAGAAGCTGCGGTCAGACGGAGAGAAAGCGCACCTGGCGAGCAGAGGCAGAGAAAGCCCGCTTCTGGAAGAGGTTGAAGGCCTGGCGAGTAGCAAACATGGTGAGGTCTCTAGAGGAATGAAAAGGGGGTATCGAATTGGAAAGTGATCAATTGAAGGAGTCAACTCCTGGAGATGGTGCAAGGCGGACGGAGAGACGCAAAAGTTCGAAGAAGAGGTTGGCTTGACAGCGTCGCGTTCCGAGGGCTAAAATCGCGCCAGCACGGTCCGCATTTCCGAGCAGCCCGTACGGAGCACTCCGGTGAACAACAAAGGCCAGCTGGCACCCGCATTGCTCCATCCAAGCTGCAAACTTCCATCTAACCGATAATAACACTGCCTATGCAGCAGCGGTCTTGGAGCATCTCATATAGCGCCAATGAGTACTACACAGTACGTTTTACAATGCGTATCTTGAAGGAATTTTGGCTCTCTTCATTATTGACGAAGTCCTTGTTTGCATCTGATCTCATAACTGTACATATAAACAACGCCGCCAGGACTGTAACATATACTGCATATACGAAGAAGCTGATTAAATGCCAGCTCGGGCATCAGTAGCTGGAGATAGAAAGATTGAGGAGCTTCATCGAAGCCAGACAAAACCATAAAAAGCTCAAATGGCAACCAAGCAACCTTTCCCCCCATACCCAAGACACCGAGAACACCGTAATTGCCTGCAAAGGAATCAGCATCGTGAAATGACATTCGCACAGGCCATGGTCATACCTGATTCATAACGCCCACTATAAAGTTTGCATCACGTCGTATCCGGAGTTAATTCCATTGCTTTGACTGGTAGCCTTTCGTCACCTTAGGAAGTGAAGAACGGCCCAGCAGAACAGGAAAAACACCACAACACCACCCCAGAAGATCCATTTGTCCTGTTTTGCCCTGCGCTCCACCATCCGAATTGTATCGCCACTGATTCCCAGCGTGTTCGCGACGCTGTACAATCGACGTTGCGTGTTTTTCAATATTTCACGCTGTTGGCTGAGATCGGCCAGTACAGCCCGACCGCGGTCGAGAAACTCGTCGAGCTGGGCGTTGGTGCTGGCGATAAATGATTGCTCCCGAAGGGCGTGGGCTTCACGGGTATAGTTTGCAGGCGAGGCACCAAAGCTTAACCCCGAGCCCGAAGTAGAACTCGAGTTGGCGAACGCAGAGGTTCGAGGTAGAGAAGAATCTGCGTAGGGGTTCTCAGGGGTGGCAGCATGATGTGGGCGACGACCGAGGAGCTCATTGCGATTCGATACCGATTGCTTTGCAGATGAAAGTCAGCTTTATAAGAGTTCAAGGGAAATACTTATATCCACGATAAACCTACAGCTTCTTCTCGCTCTTTCCGTAACCGTTCAAACTGTTGTCTATAATCCGCAAGGGCCGTCCGAAAGTTCTTCACTCGCTCGAAAGCTTTTTCTTGCTTTTCCGGAATGAGTTCTCGTTTTGACAGCGCCGAATAGTCATCGATGGTTCGTGAGAAGGACGCTAGAGATGCTGATATTTGTCCTGGATAAGTGAAAAATACAAAATTAGCTTCATTTGTAAGGGGGCAAAAAGCGAGCATGCACACAAGACACACCTTGAAGAGCTGCGGAGGTCGTCGCAGGAGATTCTGCGAAAATGTCAAGGTCGCGCCGTATAGCAGAGGACTGCTTCAAGGCGGAATTGAACAGAGAATTCTGCACGCCAAAAAAAGCTGTCAGATCCATATAGCGCACAAATAGTAGCTGTGCGAATATGTCGGTGAGCTCACCATCTCGAATATAAGCCACCAAGGCGGGCGAGCGAAGGCTACCCAAACGATCTCATGCAAAATCGAAGATCGTCAGGAAAATTCAATCCTGGGACCAGCAACCAGAAGATCCTTTTCAATTAATTTGCAATGAAGTCGAACTATACGACGCGGAGTAGTTCTCCTAAGCAACCGATGATACTGGGTGGATCTCCGGAGGACACATGGCAGATACAGCTGTGACGCGCCTCACCGCCTTCGGCGGAGTGCAGCGGACGTCAACAAAAATAGTCATTGATTCCACATGAACTGTCCCCGATTTCTTATTATTGTACTCCTATTGATCTACCTTAACCAAACAATAATAGTCGCAACTCCTCATTTCACTTATTGAAAGACATACCATTTTCCACGCTGTTTTTTTCACATGCCCAACAGTGCCACAACTCGCAATGACGCTGAAACTAACAGCACAGAAGATATACACATCTCGGGCAGTTTGATAGGGCATATGCTTATCTATACTCCGTACATGCTCGCCCGGACAGCTCCTTTACTTCTGACAGCAGTTGATGCCCCAGAACCTTTTACAACAATTATATTAAGATCCAACGAGCAAGGAGTTGCAAATGGTATATTATTGATCATTCAACAGAAGACGTCTGTCGCAACGTGGTATAATACATGGCATCGCACCCTAAAAGAGATGCAGAGAGAAACAAATCTGCCCTCCAGCATTCGACATAAGGAGAACTAAGAGCAGAGATGTCCATAAGCTATCCGGAAGAATTAGGCGCTCCATGTGGCTGAATGGAGCCTTCTCGATCGAGCTGCATGAATTTACGCCTTGGTCGGCTAATCAATTATTTCTTCGGGTATTTATTCTGGAGAAGCCATCTGCAGCAGAAAGAATTGTTAATCACGACGAGTGTGATAGATGGCCATGTGTCCATAGAACGGGACGACCTACTTGCTGACGAAGTAATCTGCTGCACCGAAGAGGCTAACAGCTCCTGTCCAGAGACCGACAACTTCCCAGGAAAGTTTTCCCTCTGCGTGCTTCCGGTACGCGGCAAATCCTAGCCCCGTGCTGACCGCACTGATCAAGAAGGCGTTTCCAAGGAAACAGGGTTGTTCGCGTTGCGAAGCAAGCTCTTGCTCTTAGCATTTGCTTTCTCCTTCTTGCTGGCTCCTTCACCACTGGTTTTCTCTTTAGCTACTTGCTCTTCAGCTTCATGTTGAAGTCTCTCAGCTTGTGTGGCTGCCTTCGAAGGTTGATTCTCGAAGTTGGAATGCACGGATTGGACATGTGGCGAGCCAACATCGGCTTGCGAGGCGGTACTTCCTGACTGCCTCTCGACTTGCGGTTGGGGTGGGGCACGACTTGAGGCAAAAAGTCAGCCATAGGTATACAGACGACCATGACTCAGGACGAAGAACTTACGCCTATGAGACTGCAAGTCAGTGATCGATGATAGCTTTCAAGAAAGCGAGGACCAATCAAACTTACCTCTTCCGGAGACTGTTTTGCCCCTCTGGCAGCAGCTGCAGCGTACGACATAGTAGAATGGATCCTGCTTTGAGCGGTGGTTAAAACAGCGATAGAAGCTGTGAGATTAACAGTGGTCAAACGCAGATCTTGTCGATGCTTGGCTGCTACCTCGAGCTCCAGGACAGGACTTACGAATGAGGGGTAACAGCGAGTTATGGGGATAGTCGAGAATGGTCGGATGACACCGAATGGGACCAGAAGACTACTTAAGATGCTGCGACAGAGCATGTGCCGGATCTGCCTGGGCCTTGGACGAGGAACATCACGTCATAGATGTGACTCAGTGGACCGGCTGCACGTGTCCGGCTGCCAAGATGATGCCTGTCAATTGGTCTCCTGTCCAATCGGAGACCCGGCACATGATTTAACATACCAGCAGACCCGAATAGAGTGCGGGCCCGTCGGGGGCTTGGCAGTTATCCGCCGCGCAGGGCTGACTATGTATGGAGTAGAGCAGTTGCCCAGCGCGGAGAGATCTAAAATCAGATCTTATTGCATGTGATGGATGGGTCGTCCCAAAAGACTCCAGAGAGTCAAACACCGGCTAGGCTGGACTCAACAGGCTACAGTGAGCTGACTACGTATTGCTTTATTCTAGTTCCTGTCGCTTTCCTCGGCCCATTCATTCAGCATTCGTCCAAAGTGGTCAAAATATCAACCAGGTAATAGTTCAAGTTGTCCAAATCAATCAATCATACAGTCGCAAGCCCACAAAGTCCGCACCATACGGCTGTACTCCCTCGTCACCTCCCTGGTTCCCTATCACCACCGTGTTTTCTCCATTCCTCCACCCATCAACCAAAACGCCAAAGGTCGCGCTATCCCACCAGCCACGGCCTGGTCCGAAGAGCTCGCTGTGCTTCCCAGAAAGAGGCACCTCGATCCTCGTCGGTGGTCCGCCGTTGACCGAGATTGTCAGATTCCGAGAATTGGAGCCCGTGGTCCACGAGGTTGAAAAGGCAATGTCGTTGTTGATGTAGTCGATCTCGAGGTATTTCCCTGCAGTCGTAGTAGCAGCAGTAGTATTATCGCCACTGCCAGACACCACCGTGGCAGGGATAGTGATGCTTGCATTACCTGTCGGGCTGATATAGCCGATTTTGGACCCGACAGGCAGGCAGAATCCCGCATCGCAAGTCTCGGGTTTGGCGGATCCCACAGGTGTAAACGATGTACAGGGATAGTATGTCCCCGATGGGGAGGTGACGTTTATGTAACTGATAATTGGAGACGGCGAAATCGTGATCGTGTTCGATGAACCTGCTGACAGCGAGATGTTGACCGAGATTTGGCTCTCAGTCGGTTGCACCTTGGCAGACGTCTTGAATCCCCCGAGGCTCGTTCGGATCGTTATTTCGCTCGAGTGAGATGATCCGGGAGCAAACGCGATTGTCAACTGGTACTGGCTGCTAGTGGTCTCGGCATAGATGTTTTCAAAAGTTGTCGAGTGCCTGCTAAGCGGTCAGCGTCCCTTATTTTTTTTTTCCTGTCAAGGGAAGAGGGGTTAGGACTGACCCATCTGAAGTTGCAAAAATATCAGCAGGATACTTCCCTGCTTCTGTTGTCCCGGCCAGTTCTACCAACATCGTTCCATGAGCTGCCACGTTCGCAGTGTACGACGTACGGACGTTCGTGGCTGCGCTTTCGTCCCAGATGTTCCGCAGCGTCTGCGCGTGTTGTAGGCCTACGACAGGGAGATCCAGCGTCAAGTTCCTCGATTCATCCGCCCAGTTGATCAATGCAGCCACTGTCTTCCCACCCGATATGGGCCCGCTCCACACTTCAAAGCCCTCTTCGGTCCATCTCCTCTTCAGACTGGCACTCACACCAAGCGGGTCTTGGTTGTAGCTGATGACATCCTTCTGTTTCAAGATCTGGAGCGAGGCATCTCTGATCGTCGTCAAGGTATCATTCAACGCGGCACCGATGGTCAGGGGGCTTTTCAGGATCGCCCAAAGGGAAAAGTGCGTCTGCTCTTCCGGGATCGTAAACACATTGTTCCCCACCTCGAGCATATCGAGGTCTGGCCAGTGGCCAGGTCCGGCAAAAGAAGTCTGCGGCACGGCCTGGTTGAGGATCCTGAAGATCGTCCGCCACGCGGGGATTATGTCGTTGGAAATTCGCCAGGTGTTGCCCAGAGAGGGAGCCCAGAGCGCGGGGAAATCGACGCCCCAGTCACAGATTTGGAAAAGGATTTTCCGATCCACACTGGCCAGCGCCTTTGTCATGTTCGCGTAGCGGAACGATGGCGAGGTGCTCGGTGTATAATCCGCATCTGGATACCCAGCGGCTGCATCAGAATAGCAGTTGTCGTCTGGAAGGAAGATCAGTATCAATCAATGCGACGGGCGCAAGAAGAGACACAACAGCACGTACATTTCAACGCATCCGCTTTCCAGGCAGCGAACGTCTCTGCGTCCTGTTGTTCATGGACTTGATTCGAATTAACCACGCCGGCCAATGCACATCCCGGGGGAGTCAAAGCCCTTACATAAACTTCCTACTTGATCAGGGGGTCCTCCACAAGTCTTAATCCCCGCATCTTGATAGACGCCAAAGAGAAGCCCCAGATCGTGAATGTACTGCCCTAGTGCCGGGAATCCACTCGGAAACAGCGTTTCATTCCAGGTCAAGGACCCATTGGGGAGTCGGTAGGGGACCGTCCAGCCGCAATCAGTTGTGACATATCGATAGCCAAGGGTATCAAGGCCAAAGTCCACGAGAGCCTTCGCGTTTGACTGGATGATCGATTCGTTCGGGGAGCATGAGTAGTGGTTGTAGGAGTTCCATCTTCACGGTTCATATATGAATGAGCCAAGCTGTATCTAGCTAGAATAATAATAATAATAACTCTTCACAAGACGAGACTTACCCCATTGGAGGTGTGATTGCCAGTCCATTGTCTAACCTAGGTTCCAACCTTGTGGATGCCAGTGCACCACAGCTGGTAAATAGTAAATATGAAGAGAGTGCATAGTAGCTAAGACTAGGATATCTTGTCATCTTGGCATAGAAAAAGCAGGATAAGCGTAGCAAGATGATGAACTCCTATCCTACATATTATTCCAACAGAGCTGACCATCATTATCAGTAATGGCCATAGCCATGGGTTATATAAAGCACTACTCCGTACGGAGTACACCCCAGGCTACTACTAGAGACTCTTTCAAAACAGCGCATAATGCGGGGATTCCGGGGAAAAAGCGCAGCGCGGAGAGAATTTCTCCATGAGCCGGTGGGAATGGCCACTAAAAACAGCATCGTTGTTGATGATGGTGATCTTTTCCTGAAAAGGGCTGTCTCACATCACGGAGTTGAACTTGGGACTCCTCTTTCTTCTCTTCGCCCGGAGATTGCGCCGGTGAATTTGTTTTTTTCTGCTTGCCGATGCATGCGTGCCATTGGAGGGAAATCTCCGGTGGAGTCTTATTACACTCGGTCGCCATTCATTATTACAGCTCTGCTCTCATTATTGAATCGTTGATTATATATAAATGACGAGATCGGATCGAAAATCTCTCAGGGCTAATAACGACAACAAAGGAAAGTGAGTTTTGGTACAGATTAGGAAACAGGGTCAGGATGACAATCCAGTACCCCCGGACAATTAACTACATCCTACACCCCGTATTCCCTGCATTCCCCCCAAAACACCCATCGACATTATTAGTAGCTTACAACAAGAGCTCCAGCGGGTTCTCCACAACCCTCTTCAGTTCCTTAATCCACTCTCCACCAACAGCGCCGTCAACCACCTTGTGGTCAAAGCTTCCAGTGACCACGATCTGGTCGTCCCATTCGACGGAGGTGCCTTCCTCAGTCTCCTTGGGAACAGGCACCTTGCGGATGGTACCGACAGCGAGGATAGCAGCCTGAGGAGGGTTGATCACGGCCGTGAATCGTTCAACGGCCGGGTTCATTCCCAAGTTGCTGATCGTAAAGGTGCCACCCTGGTACTCCTCCGGCTTGAGCTTGTTGTCACGGGCACGCTTGCCAAGGTCCTTGATCTGGTTCGAAATGCTGGCCAGGCCGAGGTTCTGAACATTCTTAACCACGGGCGTAATGAGACCAGAAGGAGTGGCGACGGCCACGCTGATGTCGACCGTCTTGTGCTGTCGGATGACCACCTGTCCGTTCTCCTCGTGCCAGCTGGAGTTGACAGCCGGCACCTTCATGAGAGCCGCAGCGCATGCCTTGACAAGGAAGTCGTTAACAGAGAGCTTGTACCTGCCCTCCGCCGACGCGTTGAGGGCTTCGCGAAGTTTCAGGAGCTTGGTCACAGACAGGGTGGCCGACACGAAGTAGTGGGGGTTGTCGTGCATCGATTGCTTTAGTCGGTTGGCAATGGTCTTGCGCATCGACGTAAGAGGGATATCTTCGTAGGTAGGGCCGGCGGCAGCAGCAGACACACTGGGCTTGTACTTCTCAACGTCCTCCTTGGTGATCTGACCACCTCGTCCCGTGCCCTTGAGCGCCTTGATCGGCACACCCTTCTCCAGAGCCAAAGCTTTCGCAGCAGGGCTAATCTGAGGTTCCCGGTCGAGCGCCGGCTGCAGCCTCTCCCCAGTAACTTCGGGCTCCACGGCCTCGGGCTTGGACTCAACTGCTGCTGTGGGAGCAGGCTGCTTCGGGGCCTCGTCGGCAGCACCCTTGGACTCCTCAACAGGTTTCTTAGCGGGCGCCTTGTCTCCGCCAGCGTCTTCCAGAGTGAAGGATTCGAACGGCGCAATATCCGTACCCTCCTCCACCAGAACGGCGATGGGCTACGACACACGAAGTCAGTTCACCTAGTCCCGTGCGCCATGGGCCAATTCGATAGGGAACTCACGTTTCCGACAGACACATCCTTCTCACCAGCCTCTTTCAGGATCTTGGCAAGAACACCTTCCTCCTGAAATTCAAAGTCCATCTGCGCCTTATCGGTCTCGATTTCTACCAGCACCTCACCGGGACTGATGGCGTCACCGGCCTTCTTGTGCCATGCTCCAATGTTTCCAGAGGTCATCGTTGGAGACAATGCGGGCATGGTAATGATGGTGTGCGGAGGGTAGGCTGAGAATAAGGCATGTTAGGAGCGAGGAATTCTGGCAATTGGTAGCGAGGGTGTGAGGTAGCTGGATAACGTACACTTAGAGGAGTAGTAACGAGATAAGGCAGAGACGAGAGGTAATTGGGGTCTGTTGAGACCACAGGAATGGTCAGCATCATCAATTAAACCTCAAGGCATTCGGAACTAAGAGCGCTTTATACCGAACAGCATCTTTCAGCCTGTAGACGCTCTGAGGACGCCTCAGGTAAGAGGCGCCCTTGAGCAGCATGACGTTTGGGGTGCGCATCCTGACAGCAGCAGAGGCAACCTTGGTGCCAGATGCTGCCAATGACAAACGAAATAAACCCCACGGCCCACAGACGACAGCAGAGAGGATGGGAGGGCAGGAGCGACAGCAGGGACGGGCCTGGGAGGGAGAGGAAGACTGTACACAGCTGGCGTGTTGGGGGAGGACCTGGAACTTTTCTTGTTGAGCTCCGGTGAGAAGAACGGAGCAACTCGGGCGCGCAACTCCGAACGGGTGCCTGCTTACATAAGCCGTTTGGCGCCGGCTGCGCTGCTGGCGACTGGCGGCGGCCGTACCGGGCCCGTGGCAGGTAGAAGACACGCTGCACGATCAGAGCTCAGCCCGTGGGCGGTGGCATTCCTAACTGGGCTATGCTGGCAGGAACACACCCCCTTCTTCGATTCTGATCCCTCTCGCCCGCCTGTGCCCTAGGAATTCAATGCGGACACTCTCTCACACTTCCCGGCTCGAAATCCTCAGGCCGGAGTCGCGCATCAATGGCTGAAACGCAGCTCGACGCTGCAGATGGCCCGGAGCGGACCTCTGCAGCCGCATCCCAGATAGAGAACACGGAAAACGGACAGACAGACGCTGGATCGCCGCCACTGCTGAAGGCAGATAAGGATGACTTGCCTTCTGGGGCTGAATGGAAGGCAATAAGCACGGGGGAGAACACGGAAACGCACGAGTCTGCGACTGGCTCTCCCGACAATGCCGCCGTTACCCCGAAACAAGAGAATGCGCCCGATTTGGAGACTGCGCAGAGCGAGGACGTTCGAGAAGGCCCTCATGAGGGCGTCGAAGTCGAAACAGGTCCGGACAGTTCGAGGGAACCCCACCCTGAACGTCAAGAGACGCTAGGAGAGACGGCCCAGGATGAGCCAGCACAGGCCTTGAGAATACGCTCGGATTCGAGGTCTACCGTTGCTACGCAAGCTACGCATCGATCGACTCCCATTAGTTCGACTGTGTTCGTGGTCACGGCCCTCGATGCGATCGCAGCCTCCAAGGAAGCGCGGAAGAGCAAGGAATTGGAGGATGCCGTGCAGCTGGCTCTTGCGAACATCAAGCAGTCCGACAGGCAGCAGCTGGACCCCGAAGTCATCTTTCGTCCTCTTCAGCTGGCCACCAGGACCTTTAGCATACCGCTCCAGGTAACTGCGTTGGACTGCATCGGCAAACTGATCACATACTCCTATTTTGCCTTCCCATCCAACCGACCATCCACCATTCCGGAAAACGAGCCTGCGTCGGAACAGCAGCTCCCTCTAATCGAACGCGCTATAGAGACAATCTGTGACTGCTTCGAAAATGAGGCGACCCCTGTCGAAATCCAACAGCAGATCATCAAGTCCCTTTTGGCAGCTGTCCTCAATGACAAGATCGTCGTGCATGGAGCTGGTCTGCTGAAAGCCGTTCGTCAGATCTACAACATATTCATTTATTCCAAGTCGAGCCAAAATCAGCAAATCGCCCAGGGTTCGCTTACGCAGATGGTCGGTACTGTCTTTGATCGAGTCCGCATGAGGCTTGACATGAAAGAGGCTCGCATGAGAGAAGCCGAGGGCCACAACGACAACTCCCCGGAGACAGTGACTATTGACCCGGCGGATGGGTCTCAGATCACGGAGTCAGAAGGGCCCGCCGAACCTGCCTCAACCGTCGTCTCCGATCAGCCGGTGACCAAAGAGCCCACGGAGAAGCTTACACTGCAAAGCTTCGAATCTAGTAAAGATGATACCATGGTCAATGACAATGCGCCGACGATGGTGACACGCGTGAAACACACCCATCAGTCTGCTGCCGATTCCGCGGATGACAGAGAAGATGTCGAGGGATCAGCTGATGAAGTGGATGAAATCTATGTCAAAGATGCTTTTCTGGTTTTCAGAGCTCTGTGCAAGCTGAGCCATAAGGTTCTCACCCATGATCAACAGCAAGACCTCAAGTCTCAGAATATGCGGTCCAAACTGCTATCTCTGCATCTGATCCATTATCTCATGAACAACCACACTGCCGTTTTCACGTCGCCTCTTGCCACAATTAGAAACACCTCCAATCCCTCAGAGTCTATGACGCTTCTGCACGCTATCCGGCCTCATCTCTGCCTTAGCCTCAGCCGGAATGGATCCAGCTCAATTCCAAAGGTGTTTGAAGTGTGTGCCGAGATTTTCTGGCTCATGTTCAAGCACATGAGAGTGATGTTCAAGGTTAGTAGCTTATCACGCCCATCAGGCCAACTTCGATATCTAACTGTGCCCTCAGAAAGAGCTGGAGGTCTTCTTTAAAGAGATCTACCTCGCCATACTCGAGAGACGGAATTCGCCCGCCTTTCAGAAGCAGTACTTTATGGACATCCTCGAGAGACTGTCAACTGATCCTCGGGCATTGGTTGAGGTATACCTCAATTACGACTGCGATCGGACTGCGCTGGAGAATATTTTCCAAAAGTACGTGAACCGAATCGATCTGCACGTGTAATCTTTTTGGTGGCTGGAATGGTGCTTACATATGTATAGCGTGATCGAACAACTATCCCGATTTTCCAGCATGCCCGCCACAGTTACAGCAGCTCAGCAACAGCACTATCAAGAAAATCGTACAAAAGTGTCTAATGCGACCGAATGGCATCAACGCGGTACACTTCCGCCCTCTCTGACAACCACAAGCATGACCACCCACCCCGCCCCGAATTCGCAAAGCGTGCCTCCTGAATTTGCAATGAAACACCAAGCACTGGAATGCTTAGTGGAGATCTTGCGGTCGCTGGATAATTGGTCCTCTCAGCGCTTAGCAAATCCTACCATCACCCGGGAGGATCTGTCGCGAAAGTCAACAGATAACTCAAGGGAATCGTTGGACACATCGGCAGTTGCTGCTGCGGCTCCATCGCCAAGGTCGCCAAGGTTGGAACATGCAGACGGCGGAACTGGTCGGTCCACACCCGTGGCTGAGGATGACCCCAATGAGATCGAGAAGGTCAAGCAGAGAAAAACCGCTCTGATCAACGCTGTGCAGCAATTCAACTTTAAGCCAAAACGCGGGATCAAGCTCTTGCTGCAGGAAGGCTTCATCCGATCTGACTCCCCACAGGATATCGCCACCTTTTTGCTTCGGAATGATCGTCTCGACAAAGCCATGATAGGGGAATATCTTGGTGAAGGAGATCCGGAAAATATTGCCATCATGCATGCATTCGTGGATCTAATGGACTTCTCCAAACTTCGGTTTGTTGATGCTCTCCGTCGATTTCTCCAGTGCTTTCGGTTGCCCGGGGAAGCTCAGAAGATCGACCGTTTTATGCTCAAATTTGCCCAGCGCTACGTTGAAAATAACCCCAATGCATTTGCCAATGCAGACACGGCATATGTACTGGCATATTCGGTCATCATGCTTAATACCGACCAGCACAGCAGCAAGCTGAAAGGGCGCCGAATGACGAAGGAGGACTTCATCAAAAACAACCGGGGCATTAACGACAACCAGGATCTGCCTGACGAATATCTTGGGGCTATATTCGATGAGATTGCTAACAATGAAATTGTGCTTGATACCGAAAGAGAGCATGCTGCGAACCTCGGCGTTCAGACTTCCGCTCCTGCCGGCTTCGCATCCAGAGCTAGTCAGGTACTGGCCACGGTCGGGAGAGATACCCAGGGCGAAAAATACGCCCAAGCGTCCGAGGAAATGGCCAATAAGACAGAGCAACTGTATAGAAGCTTGATTCGAGCGCAGCGCAAGACGGCGATGAGGGAAGCACTGTCGCGATTCATTCCTGCATCGTCAGTACGGCATGTTGGTTCTATGTTCAATGTGACGTGGATGTCTTTCCTCTCTGGCTTGTCAGGCGCAGTTCAAGATACGCAAAATGTCGAGACGGTAAGACTGTGCATGGATGGCATGAAGCTGGCGATACGAATTTCTTGTGCCTTCGACCTGGAAACTCCACGAGTGGCCTTTGTGACGGCTCTGGCTAAGTTCACGAACCTTGGCAACCTCCGAGAAATGACTGCCAAGAACGTTGAGGCATTGAAGACATTGCTAGAAGTGGCCCTCTCCGAGGGTAACAATCTACGAGGATCTTGGAGGGAGATTCTCACGTGCGTCAGTCAGCTCGATCGATTCCAGCTGCTGAGCGATGGAGTCGACGAAGGAGCATTGCCTGATGTCTCGAGAGCACGGATTGTCACTCCAACATCCATTGAGCCCTCTCGCAAGTCGATGCAGTCTTCGAGGCGCCCACGGCCACGTTCTGCAAACGGTTCGTTGTCTTTCCGGCCAGAGGTTGCAATGGAAAGCCGCTCCACGGAAATGGTACGCGGTGTAGACCGGATTTTCACAAACACAGCGAATCTTTCCGAGGAGGCCATTGTGGATTTCGTACGCGCCCTGAGCGATGTGAGCTGGCAGGAGATCCAGTCCTCAGGACAAAGCGACTCTCCTCGCACTTACAGTCTTCAGAAACTCGTGGAAATCAGTTATTACAATATGACGCGAGTCAGAATCGAGTGGTCCAAAATCTGGGAAGTATTGGGTGCGCATTTCAACCAAGTTGGCTGCCATAACAACACAACTGTTGTGTTCTTTGCACTGGACTCCCTACGTCAACTCTCCATGCGTTTCATGGAAATTGAGGAGCTTCCAGGGTTCAAATTCCAGAAAGACTTTCTCAAACCATTTGAACACATCATGGCGAACAGCAATACTGTCACCGTGAAGGACATGGTCCTTCGGTGTCTCATCCAGATGATCCAAGCACGGGGCGATAATATTCGGTCCGGTTGGAAAACGATGTTTGGGGTCTTCACTGTTGCTGCTCGAGAGCCTTATGGTGAGTGTATCGCTCCTATCATTCCCAGCGCGTCCTGGCCCTAACGGAGCAACAGAGGGTATCGTCAACATGGCTTTTGAACATGTCACCCAGATATATAACACTCGTTTTGGGACTGTGATCAGTCAGGGAGCATTTGCAGACTTGATTGTCTGCCTGACGGAATTCTCGAAAAACACCAAGTTCCAGAAGAAATCATTGCAAGCCATAGAGACATTAAAGTCGGCAATTACAAAGATGTTAAAGACCCCCGAGTGTCCGCTTTCGCAGAGACACACGCCCCGTGGGAGCGTATCTGAGGACGCAGGATCAAACGTTGCCCGTCAGCCTGGTCACCACACTCACGAGGAGCAGTTCTGGTACCCGATTTTGATCGCATTCCAGGACGTACTCATGACTGGTGATGACCTCGAAGTTCGTTCACGGTATGATGCCTGTACATTGGCCAAAAACATGAGAAAGAATACTGACTAGAGCATAGAGCACTTACCTACCTTTTCGAGACGCTTATCCGATACGGTGGTGATTTCCCACCCGAGTTCTGGGATGTTCTCTGGAGACAATTGCTGTACCCGATTTTTGTCGTTCTTCAATCTAAATCCGAGATGTCAAAAGTGCCAAACCACGAAGAACTGTCGGTCTGGCTGTCCACAACGATGATCCAAGCATTAAGGAACATGATCACCCTGTTCACTCATTACTTCGATTCCTTGCAATACATGCTTGATCGCTTCTTGGAGCTGTTGACGTTGTGCATCTGTCAGGAGAACGACACTATCGCTCGGATTGGCAGCAACTGCCTACAACAGTTGATTCTGCAAAATGTGACAAAGTTCTCAGAAGAGCACTGGACGAAGATAGTGGGCGCGTTTGTGGAGCTTTTCAGCAGAACAACTGCATACGAGTTATTCACTGCAGCTGCCTCTGCGCCGCCGAAGACTCCGGATGCTTCGAAATCCAATGGGGAGTCAACAACAAATGATGCTACTGCATCTACGGAAGCGCCTGAAGCTATTTCGGACGAGGACACGGCCGGTGCTGCAACGTCAAAAGTGAATGGCTCACAAGATGGAGCTCCAGAGAACGGGGATGCAGGCGATGTTCCAAGTCAGCCGAAAACTACCCAGAATGCTCAAGCTACCGAACTCGAGGATTACCGTCCACAGGCAGATGTACAACAGCAGCCACCCGCAGTGACCTTGGCACGACGCCGATTTTTCAACCGCATCATTACCAACTGTGTCCTCCAATTGCTGATGATTGAGACGGTCCATGAACTTTTCTCGAATGACAGTGTCTACGCGGAGATTCCAAGTCATGAGCTCCTACGGCTCATGGGTCTACTAAAGAAGAGCTATCAGTTTGCGAAGAAGTTCAATGAAAACAAGGAGCTTCGGATGCAACTTTGGCGACAAGGATTTATGAAACAGCCTCCCAACCTGCTAAAACAAGAAAGCGGAAGTGCTGCTACTTACGTCAGTATCCTCTTCCGGATGTACCATGACGACCGAGAAGAGAGGAAAAGTAGCCGTGCGGAAACCGAGGCTGCACTCATTCCGTAAGTCCAATCCTCAACGACTACTCTCTTGTCATAGCAACCGTGATTTTTCTAACTGCTCTCCTGTAGACTCTGCGCAGATATCATACGAAGTTACGTTCGCCTAGATGAGGAGACCCAGCACCGAAATATTGTGGCTTGGCGGCCTGTGGTGGTCGATGTGATCGAAGGGTACACCAACTTCCCGAGGGAAAGCTTTGCACAGCATGTCGAAACATTCTATCCACTGGCCATCGATTTGCTGAGTCGAGACCTCAACTCAGAGATTCGTCTCGCGCTGCAATCCTTGCTTCGGAGGGTTGGTGAGATCAAATTGGGCCTGCCTCCAGTGCAGACTCCGCTTGAACCACCCACCAGCCCCATGCCCCAGCAATATTTCAGCACAGACCGCAGGCCCAGTCGTGGCCGTTGAACATAGAGTACCATTACCTACCTCCCGCACACCCTCAATGTCTTGATTCTGTGTTTGTATTCTTGGATTTTGTCCTCTTCCTTTTTTTTCTTACGAAATTTCTACTTTCTATTCCTGTTTCCTTTGAACGAACAATGACTGTAGAGAGGGTACCGATTTCTACACTTTTTTTTCTATTTTGTGTGTGTGTGTGTGCGCGCGTGTGTTTTTATCTGTGCATTTTTCTGTGCGCCCGGCGTTGTTCCCCCCCTTCTGCAAGATTCCCCGTGTTATGATATAGCCAGGGAACATCACCTAGATACATTTCAGCAGTTGGAGACGCATGGGACGCCTCCTGCTATTTTTGTCCATATATGAAACGTGCCTCTTCGGTATCATTCATGATGGATTTTTTTTTCTCGGAATACCTGTGATGGTAGCAACCATTTCCAATCTGGAAAGATTGGACTAAGGACGCTCCTGGCGAACCTGTTCCAGACTAGGCACTCGCCCAGACTCGTAGGATCTTAATAGAGTATCCATGTCTCCTTCAGTCATTTCGACGAGGTCTTCCAGACTCCACGACTCACAAATGTTCGACATCCTGCGGGAGACAATCAGTCTAGTACGGCAGGATCGTGTCCCCGGCCCGCTTACCATTTCATCCTCTTCGGTCCTTCACTGGCATCGGGCGCAATCTCTCTTAGCTTTTTCCGTAACTTGCCTACGTTCTCAATGGCCACACCCGTATTATCCGGCAGCGCCTCGGCGATCTTCTTGCGCACAATGCTGGCCAGCTTCGGACCGTTACCATTTGTGCTCACCATGACCTGCAATGGCCCGTCGCGGTGCACGCTGCCAAAATAGAAGTCGCACTCGGAGGGCACATCCGCAATATTAGCTGGAATCCGGCGCTCTTTGCACAGCCTCCATATTCGCGACGAGACATCTGAATCATCAATTGCGCAGAGCACCATGTCTGCATTGTCAAGGTCGTGCGGTTCAAAGTTGCGATCGATGTGCAAGACCTGTTTCTGGGCAACACGAAAAGCGACTTCGTCGTTCAGTCCTGAGCTTGGACAGACGACGGTCACTTTGGCATCGGCATTGAGGGCATGGAGTATACGGCCTGCGGCGACCTATACGTCTTGTTGTCAGCACGAGCTTTTTGCGATGTTGCTATTATAGCGGGGTGCTTTGGGTTCAATATATATATTTCTGCGTATGCCAGCGCAACACCAGCCTTACCTCGCCACCACCCACGACAAGAACATTCTTATTTCTGACTTGCCACGCGACAATGAGAGATCCTCCTCCCTGGACTTCTGGAAACCTCTGTGACATGTCGATGGAAAGAGGATTGAACAGTCAGTTCCCTGTCTGCGCGGGGCGGCTAGGCCCGGGTCTCCGGAGCAGATCGTTGGAGTTCCAGCCCCGCGGTCCAAGTCCGGCGGTCGGCACGTGCCAAAGCGGCTTGACTGGGCTTTTTTTTTGCACTTTTTCTCTCCTTGTCAGTACAAAATGCCGCCCCGGATTCTGAACAGCGTCAACGGGGATTCGCCTCCCTCGAATACTTTCCCCCCATGAACACAGGCCTGGGTGACACTCCAATTCCCAGAAACCATCATGCGCGGTGTTCAGATCTTCTCGGGGACTTCCCATCCGGCCCTTGCTGAAGCCATCTGCGAGCGGCTGGGCACCGTCCCAGCCAAAGCAGAGCTCCGGAAATTCAGCAATGGAGAGACCAGCGTCAACATCAACGTGTCTGTACGAAACCAGGATGTTTACATTGTCCAAAGTGGAAGCAGCAAGATCAATGACAGTCTCATGGAGCTTCTGATCATGATCTCTGCATGCAAGGGTGGTTCTGCGAAGTCGATCACAGGTATGCTTTCGTCGGATGATCTGCAGTGATTTTGATTCTTCACATGTGAATGTTGGTGACTGACTAGAAGTGTCACTCTGCAGCCGTCATGCCGTATGTGTTCTCCTTCAGCTGAGCAACGTACAGTTGACACTAACTTCGTCAAGATACTTCCCATATTCCCGCCAGTCAAAAAAGAAGAGTCATCGTGGGTCTATCGCTGCCAGGATGATCGCCAACCTCCTTACTATTGCTGGAGTAAACCATGTGATCACACTGGATCTGCATGTATGTGTTACCACAGTCTGCAAATTTCCCACCGGTCTTACCGCATTGGGATCCATGTTTGGCCGCGCTCTGACCCGGATTGCTTTGACAGGCATCCCAAATGCAAGGATTCTTCGGCAATCCAGTTGACAACCTATTCGCGGAACCGCTGATCGCTCGCTGGATTCGGATCAATGTGCCTGGCTGGAAAGATGCAGTGGTTGTCAGCAAGAATGCAGGTGGCACTAAACGAGTCACCTCATTAGCAGATACCCTGAAGCTCAACTTTGGCATTGTAACAACCGACAGGCGAAGACCGAAGGTCAATGTGACCATGACTGACAGCACAATATTCTTCGACTCGATCGAGACAGATGATGATCGAGACCGTCAAAGAGATGACCATCTGGTTCCGGGGGCATCTGAAAACGCTGTTCAGGACCATGTTCTCTCCACATCGGCCGATACGTTGCGTCCGGGGACCCCGCCTGCCGCTCGTCGGCCGTCAGAATTGGAAGCAGCTGAACATACCACCGATGGACGAGCACGCGATGTGATTACCGGACGTCTGGTGCAGGGACACCTTGTGGACGACGACTACCCTTCCCCTGTCCTGTCTGCTGCGTCGACCCAGGCTCCGACTTTGGTTACAGAAAATGGCCTCGAGCGTCATGAGAATGTTGTCGATCCTATGGCAGCCTCCGTCATCTCTGCTACCTCGTCACTGCAGCCTGAACATGCTCTGGGGGGCACGTATGATGTAGTCGAGTCGGACGACGATGAGGCACAAGCTCTCAGCAGCAACGCGGAAGAGAGAACCATCACTCTAGTCGGAGACGTGAAAGATAAGACGGTGTTTATCATTGATGACATGATCGACCGGAGCCGATCCTGGATCGCTGCCGCAGAAACCGTTGTGAAGAAAGGCGGTGCGAAGAAGGTATACTGCATTGCTACGCATGGAATCTTCGGGGATGACTCCCTGGAGCAAATGGAGGCGTGTGATGCTATTGACCATATCGTTGTCACCAATTCTTTCCCTATCCCCATTGACAAGTCCCGGCGCTCCAAGAAATTGGTCGTCATCGACGTCTCGGCTTTGCTGGCGGAGAGCATTAGGCGCCACCATTACGGCGAGAGGTAGGTCATGTGGTCCTTATCCGAATCTGACGAGCCGGAACTGACTTGAGATTTTCTAGCATCTCGGCACTGTTTCAATTGAATGACTAACTGCATTCACTGTGCGGTTCAAATGAAATTCAAGTAATGACTATGTGCTATGACCAGGTATGAAAAGACGAGTGACATATCTGCATTATTCGATGGTGGTTGTTATTGATCTCCCCAGTTGTATGTTGAGTTTGAGGACTGGGTTGTGCTGGACAGACTCTAGTCCCTGCAGGATAATGGAGATCCTGCCTGTGAATGTCCGTGTATTTTCAACCTATGTTCCAATCTGCTAGAAGATGGGTACTTCGACACCCTTCGACCGCTGAGCAGGAAAAAAAAATCCTGCTCTCTGCTCTCATCTCGACTGGAAACCACTCTTTGATTTCATCAGGACCTGAAGGACCACACATGCGATATACTATACATGAATTCACGGATAAATGCAGAATCCTTAAAACTCAAACCCCCACGCCTTTCACCGCAGAAGCATATTTCTGGTTCATTTCAATCCCAACGATGCAGGACCACTGAGGGTCTCTGCAAGGACATCTTGCTTGATTGGAGCTCGTCTCTGATCGCACCAACAAAGTTGTCCTTAACGGAGCGTTGGCAGAACAGACTTGCGGAGTCGGGATATCCTTGTATGAGGATGTCACGATTTTGCGCCACGAGGATAGAAGGCATTGCTTTCAGAGCCTAATCATTGGCTTCGCGGCCGCCGTCCATGTGGAGGACGGTCGATGGAAGTGATGCAAGAGAACATCTCGGACATGAGGGCTGTGACACATGGGTTGTGTTGATCAGATTGCAGGGCAGACGGTGAAGAACTTAGCTAGCTAGCTACCTAGGTACCCGTATAACCGGCCTCCGAATCCCGACTTGACAGACGTCGGAGTAGACCCTGAGCTCGTTCTAGAAACTGAATCCGTTGATTATACATACTGCAATGTAAGGCGGCGTCTCCGAAAGTATAACTAGTTACATAGTTACCCAGAACTCGAATGCCGGACGTATGAACGTCTCTTATTCTTTCCCCCTTTGTCTGATTTGATTCTGGGCGGATATCGTTGTCACTGCATTGTCCACACCGTATTGATATAGACTAGTAGACGTGCTGCTGCGCATGTGCGGTATCTGGTGACTTGGTTCTGCATCCAGGCCATTGGTCGATATCCGCATCGCTACAAGCCAGTCACAGATAAAAATCATGAGGAAATAATGGGTATCCGCAGAAAACTCTTCCTAGACTCGACACGCTAGCATGATCTTGTCATACCATCAGCCTACGGAATATCTTGACGTCCGAACGTACGTACTGGTCCTACCCAGTAAGTAGGTACTACGACTCGTGCACAAGGGCATATCAGGTAATTTTATCCTGTCGACGAAGGCCGGTCCTGCTGCATTGGAATTCTCTCATAAGTCACAGGAATGCCTGGTCTGGACGATCCATCCTCGCACTGCAGATTTTCCTTCGTATCCACATGCCAATTTCTTGGCAGCAGTTCTTTTGGTTTTTCTGTAGGCGATCTGTATCCAGCATCTGTCGTCCGGAGTAGTGGTGTAGTTCTCCGTCGCTATGATTCGATCAGCCTTGCTGCTGAGCTTATTTGAGCCGCGTTTATTTATAATTAGCATCATCAGATAGAGCTTGGGCTAGGCTGTTGTTAATCGGCGTAGATTTCTAGATCTCCATCCTGGCTGACGGTAGCTGTCTTGCATGCAATATTGGATTTGAGCGGTGTAGGCGCGATCAGGTACCCGATCTCGTGACGAGAGCCTCACGGTTGTGCCTGCCTTAGCGGTCCCGAGAAAAAGCAGACGGAGACAGGCTAAGAACGACCTCGCAGCATGCAAGCATCCTTGTTGTTCGAGTATTGCACCGTGGTTTGCCATCCCATCACTGCGTCGCACAACGTGACTTGATTATCTTCGACGATCGTCATTTCGTTTTGTTTCGATAAGTGAGAGTGTGTACTGTGTACTCGACGCATCGAGCCTTCGATCGATTTCTAGACGGAGTTGTTATTCGACATCGAGCGTCAGAGCGCAGCTTGGCAAGCCCTGTGCCATCACGTCATGAAGCAGCAAGAGATACGCAGTCACCGTGAAGCACGAAGGATTTCATACTATTCAAACAAAAACGGCCCATTCGGCGGTGTGAATACGCACCATGACTATTGGCAGGGATGCTGGTCCCCACTGGAGTGTATCTGCGAAGGGTTGGAGATGTTTCGGAGAGACGGCCAACTACTGAGCTGATAGGATCTTCTGGCGCATCGGGGTCTCCTGGGAGTTCCGCTGTGTCGGGGAAGATGCATGTGGGCCACGCGGTGGCTGCTAACGGAGTATGATGCCATCTGCCGGTTCGTCCTTTTCGAAGCCACTTTCTTTTCGGGCTAATTTGAAATTAATTGACTCTGCAGATCACCAATCCCGTTTGTTCAAACTGGCTGTCGGGATGGCATTTGCCTTCTGGAACCTTGCGCCTCTCGCTCCGGCGTCCCTGTAGCGGGGGATCTTCAGTGGCCTAAAAAATGTCCCGTAAATAGTCCTTTTCTTGACAGGACTAGCTACACCAGGACTCAAAAAAAATTAATGATGATATTATTGGACAGGCGTGTGACCTGTCTTAGCGTGATGGTTATCCAGCTCTATACGGACCAACCCCGTCGTCTAGCAGTCTGGACTCATTATTATGGCATCTTACCCGCAAGACGCTGTCAGGGTGTGGTTCTCGAGTCTGAGCCGTTTCTATACCGCCGGCCATTATTGTTCTAGGACCTCACTAATGACATACTCTGCGCGTCCGTAGGCTCGCGCTAATGGCTGGCGAAGCCCAACGCATCGGATATGCAGGCGGGGGTGGACGAGCTTGATCTGGTCCCGAGCCCGTGATTAGCGGCCATTATGGACCTAGTCCAGGCCCTGCCTGCGCCAGTGTCTATGGTAGGGGAGGATGGCTGCAGGGATCGCCTGCATCCCGGTCGTTGGACAGGCTTTCGGACATGGATGATGGACATCACAAAAACTAATCAAACAAGTCCTCAAATCGGCACTGTACCACCAGTGCTCAAAAAAAGAGACACGGAAAACAAAGGTTGGGAATTTCACACGGCGCTCATCATTCGTCCCTCGAGTCGTCCTCGCCCCAAAGCCCTGGAATCGGCCTAGTCGGCGCTTCGCTTGTCCGGAACCGCATTCCCGGAAACTTTGGCGTGTTGCACTTGCGGTCTTTTGCAGCCAAGTGGCTGTGACGTCTTTCTCCGGAATCCGGGAAATATCCATTCTCACTGCGACTACTCAATAATAATGGCCATCATTGACCCACGGCCACCAGGACTAAATCCTCCCCGTAAGCAAGTCATGGTCTAAACTCCTTGAAACTAGCCCAGTCGGTGGAGGCTGGAGCGAATTAGGCCAGAAGCCATTCTTCAACAGAATCCAAGGACCGAGAACACGGTGCGACACCAAAATGCTAGCGTTGATCCCGAACCGCAATGTTCCTTGTAGTCAGTCAGTCATAATAATTTGAAAAACATTATAATTCCTCCTGGCCCGAAGGGGCTCTCCACGCCTACCCGACTGGAGCAAGACAGGAGCACAAACACGTTGCAATCGACACCGCAAGAGCTGGAACTGATGGATCTGTAGTTTCTCGGCGTCAACTCGATCCACAGACGGCTACCTGCTTCAGGACGCGAACACCGATCAACTATCATCAATCCAGAAAGAAACGCTGTTCGTACGCAGGCAGACTGGAGCGCCCTCAGACCGGCAAACAGGGGGAGAGGAGATTGCTATAAATCGCTCCTTTCCCTCCTCTCGACTCGATGGTGATGAAGATCAAGCTGTGTGCTAAGATCTTGATTCTTCAGAAATAGAGTAAGTTGATGTTGTCATCTATCTGGGAGACTTCATCATTTTCCCCTCAAAGCACCGTTGTGAAGAGTTTCAGCTAGAGCAGCATACTTTAAGTTTTAAGCTACCAGACTAACGACAAGATATCTGGAGAAGCATACCTACATCCATCGGCCATTCACCACTCTGCTACAAGGTACCTACCGAAGGTATGTACAGCCCTTTTCCTGCAATGACTGGGATGTTATTCAGCTGCTTCCTTATACTATACTTGCTTCCCCATTGCTGCTTTCATTTCTTTGCACCTTGACAATTGCTTATGACGAGCAATGATTTCAGTAACTTCTTCAAATGAGGTCAAGACAGCTGACTGACAGATCCACTGCAGTAAAATCGATCCAAACATCCGTCATCATGGCCAACCAGTGCTCCGGGCATGTGTTCGCCATCGTGCAGGGCACCAACGGCAACATCCTCACCTGGCGCTGCTCCGACTGCAACGGAGGCCCGTTCGTGGCGATCTGGCGCTGTAAGATCTGCGGCCACAATCGCTGCAATCAATGTTACACCGCCAAGGCCTAAAAATGGTTAAAGCATTCGTGTAAGTGTGTCGATCTCTCATTTTGTAAACGTCGGATGTCATACAAAGCGCGATCTCGTGATATGGCCGACGTTCTTTTCGAACCATTTTGTGCGAGCTACAGGAATCGCCTTTTTTTTGTCTGTCTGCGAGTTGCTAACAGCGCGGCGCTAGACGCAATCGGTGTGTCTAAAGCTCGCCTCGTGACTGTCAACTCGGAAGGCTCTTCATCCCGATTCGTCGCGGGGAACCCCTGTCGGTTTTGGTTCCTGCAGTGTCTGTAATGATGTGTCCAGACCCCTGTCAGCCTTGCATGACTACTAACAGCCAACCGTTTCGACTTGGCGAGAATGTGTATTCACCAATGCATGAATGACCACCATCGAACTTCGGAGTTGTTTCTTTCACGAACTTCTTTTTCTGGCATCACCCTGGTCCCTGACGTTGTTTGCACCGAGCTCATCTCTTCTTTATCTGCATGCTATTTTTAAAACAGGGGCGCCACGACGGTAAAATGTGTTCGACCATTTTCTTTTCACAGCCATATGCGATTTAATCAGGGTGTCTTGCTAGAATGGGGAGCAAAGGGGTTAATGAGGCAGGATGATTTGGTTAAGTGGTTTTCTTTGATTGTTTATGCTTTTGATCTCGGGATTGTTTCTTTCAGGTAGCAAATGGCGGGTTTGTTTTTCTTTCCAAGGGCAGAGGGCTATTCTCAAAAATGGGTTAAATAGACTGATTAGGCACTGGACCTGAAATTACTCGTCTCATTCATCGTCATATTTCGTTTTTTTTTCTTTTAGGGTTGTCTACACAGGCTCAAGACAAAGGATTGTACCTGCTTCCAGGCTCACTTTCTATCAGTCTCGCCGTCAGCTCCTTACCAACCATGAACGGCATAGAAAAGGGCAACGATCTCTGCGCCAAATGTTCCCTGACCGTGGCAATCAACGGGTCCGAGCCATGGCCATGCGGAGGCGTAGGGTTGAAGGCGAAATCCATCAAGGACGGGAACCGCTCGTCAAGCAGGCGAATGATCCTCTCTTGGAAGACCGCAAGGTCTTCTTTCGATTCCACGGGATGGAGGACCGTGAAGATGTTCTCGAGGTCAAGCCTCTGCAGCGACGGGAAATGCACCTCCTGCTCGGGCTCCTCGTCCAGCAGCTGGAGAATCTCCACATCGGCAGGCATCGTCAGATCCTTCAGACGAGGACAGTGACGGGCGAGCGAGGCTAATGATCTGGAAGTTATGGTACCACCGATAGCTGGAAGCGAGAGAACCTCCAGATGGCCCAGTTTTGACGCGAGCTTTTCGATCTTTTCGTCCGAGAGATCGACGATGGACCCGTTCTCGGATTCAAACTGCACTCTGCGGAGCATCGGGCAGTGGGCCGCGAGTTCTACGAGCGATGTTCCGGAAAGGTCGCCATGCTCCCACGAAAAGATTACTTCTTCCAAGCGCGTGCACGACGACGCGAAACGCGGTGTGTCTACTGGCGATGACTGGCAGTCGACGACCGCGATATCTATCCTCTGCAGGGTGTTCTTCAGCAGGGGCAATCCCAGGATCAGACGCAACGCTTTATCCTCAGCAGTAACTTGGAGAGAGCGCAGATGCGGGAAAGGGACAAGGTCGGGGTTTTCGCTCAGCGCTCTCCGCACGGTACTATAACGCCAACGGACTCCATGTCCTGTACCAAGTTTCTCGAGTCCGGGCCGGAACATGAGATAGGTCATCACTTTTTCTGTTAGCAGTGGATCCCACCCTATTATCAGTTCCAGGTGTTTGATCGACTGCATCGCCTTGAGGAAATTCAGGAAATCGTCTTCTGTTAAGAGGGTCGTTGACGGGTCGTCATCGACGAGGCGATTGTCGAGGAGAAGCGCGCGGAGTGAAGGCGCATTTTTCTGCAATTCAACCGTCAGTCAGTCTCGACATTTTATTAAATCGACATTTTATTAAAAAAACGAAGTTCTTTTTTTTTTGACTCACCCGGATCTGCTCCAGAAACCATCGAGTATAATATCCGCCAAAGAGCTCTAGACAGGCAAGATTCGGCTGCAAGAATTGGGCCATGTCCTCCTCTTTCATATTTTCGCTGCCGATGTCGACGATCAGGGACTTCACATTAGGGAAGTGGAACCTTTTCTGCTTCAGTAGTTGAACGATTGGAATATTATCATTACTATCATCATCACTCCTCTCGAGGCTCAAATAACGGATCTTTTTAGAGTACCTGATAAAGCAATCAGGAAGAGTTAGTATGCTTTTTTTGGAGGTCAGCTTATCTTACCAATCTCGCCGTTCCTTCTCAGAATCCGCTAATCTCCTCAGCGGTGATGAAAGAGACTCGAAGGAATCGCGGTATGCGCCTCGCCAGATATACTACCATAATCATAAGTTCATAACCCAGACGGTTCCGGTTCAGTATGTGATTAGGAAAGAAGTTGCGACGTATGTATGTAATGTTGTATGTATGGACATACATTTGTAGCCTCCTCTGCCCATAGGCTGTTGACCTGCGCAGCGGCAACCAAGCTCCTCGAGTCGAGGTGTTGCAGCACGCTTGCGGCGATCCCTGGTATTTCGAGTGGTGATAGATGCATGATGAACCATTACCTGCCTAGGTAGGTAGGTAGGTAAGCTAGAATAGTGAGTGGGCTGGAAGGCTGATAGATGACCTGTGGAGAAGGTGAGTACTCTGTAGAAGTGTTTGTTCAGCGGGGGCCAAAAGCGGCGGGCAGTACTACTATGTATAGGTAGGTATGTACCGGGCTTGCTCATCGTATCATAAACGTCTATTTCGTCCCTATATTTTTATTTTTTTTGTCTCGGCGGTACTTCGGTCGTCATATCATCCTCAACGGTTTTGTTTGATCTATCTTTGCCACCATGGCTGTTTTTTTTTTCGATGATCTTCATGTTTTTATCGCACATCCTTTGTTTACTAACTAGCGGAGGAAGATTGCCCCGAATGCCGGCCGACTCTTGCAGCAAGTGTATAAGGTACCTAACCTACTCGAGCTAGCTAGCTTGACTACTGTATGGAACTGACGTTCAATTCAGGCTGACTCCCGTATGTACCTTCTTACCTACATCAGGCATGCTAGGTACGGAGTACATACCTGCTGAGCAATATTTGCGGACGTCCTGATGACTGCTCTTTTTGTTTTGGGAGGTGAGCAGCGCCGCCCTGGGCTCATCCCGATGCGCAACCGAATAGAGGAATTAGTACTCTGTATAAGACCGGTTTTCTTTCTTTCTTTCTTTCTTTCTTTTTTGCTGCCTCAAATATGACAGTTCTGTGCCGCCCATTGGTTATAGCTATTTATATTATATTGTATAGCCTCTTGTGTTATTGCCTTAAATTAAAAACCTGTCAATGAAGGCGCTATATGACTCGAATAGAAAATAGGAAAGTGAAGTTGACTTTTAAATGTCATCCGCGGAGCATCCTCATCTTTGCCACAGTTATCATTGTTCAGGTAATTATCCTTTCTACGAATCGTGAATTATCTTGTTAGATTCTGCTAGCAGTCTTTTGTCAATTCCAATTTTCTTCTGCTAAACCAGGCGGACAACGCAGTCTCTCTTTCTCAATATTTTAATTTATAGGATAAGTAATGAATATGAGGTAAAAGTGGTAATTTGATCAGAATTCCTAAATGGGTAATAGTTTGGTTGGGATTGCTGTTAGGTCTCATATCTCGAAGAACAATGCCGTTAAGATCTTTCATCTGACAGCAAATGTCATCAGAAGATATCATGCCAGTAGTATAAGGTCCTTTTTACACCCGTTTTCTTCTCTATATTTGGTTCTTAAACAACCAGCACAAGTATCAAGGATATAAATAAGCCTAGCTGATATGATCGACTCACCTAGCAGAGCTTCTTGCAGATCTTTGATGTTTTTACGTAGCTAGGTGTTCCCTAAGATCCTAGGTACATCCAAAAAGAGCTGCATGCATACACCTTCAGGCATGTGACTGCTAACCGAATAAGCATGGGATGATGGCCGTCACCTTGCAAGGTACCTAGAAAGGCAATTTGACACGACGAATCCAGGAACATGGGCCTGCAGCAGACTGAGCAGAGTAACTGATCAACTCATGCTAAGACGAAAACGAACAGTCATGGGGATCTGAATCCGTGTAACCAGCAACGCAAGTCTGGACCAGCATCGGCCCAAAAATCAGGCTGCGCAGACTGACATCCATCCTGATCGTTCTGCATGCGCCTGGAGGGGGGCATGACATCATCGCTAGAGTCAATCTTAGCCCGTCTTGGCAGCCAGCCCTATCGCCATGCAACTGCAAGTTGGATCCTTTCATCGGCCAGACATCTGACAGGCGGATCATCGCCAGTTCAACGCTGCCATCTCCACCACGCTCGAATGGAGGTACGCGCATTCGGGTCATACCGAATGATCCTGAAAACAATTTCAAGCATTTCTGATTGGATGTGGATTTTTTCTTTCCAACGTTGTGCTGATCGTCAACGCTATGCTCTAGTGACGGGTGACAATGAAGTCCGCTCGGAATATTTACAAGGATGAAGTTGACTTCAAAGCGTTGGCCCTGCAGTCACCTGAATTTGCGAAGCAGTGAGTACATCCCAGCTGCTTGAATTCTGCTGATGTTGACTTTGACAGTTTGAAACCGAACAACCAGCTCGACTTTAGCAATCCGGATTCTGTTCGGTATTTTCCTGACTGCGTGGACTTGGCAGATGATGGATGTATGGGCTGATATCCATCTACAGACAGCTAACGAAAAGTTTGCTGGCGCGCGACTTCAACCTCAAGGTCGATCTCCCTGACGACAGGCTATGTCCTCCGGTATGTGCTGTTTATCCCAAAGTTTACAAAGGATATAATGTTACAAAGAATATGATTGACAATTTGATAGGTTCCTAACAGGTATGATGCCTGAAGTCTATGTACCGGCTTCTTTTCTGACTGTCAACAGACTGAATTACATTTTGTGGCTGCAAGATCTAATAGACACCACTGGAGATGACTATCGCGATGACTACGATCCAGATCGAGAAGTCGTGGGCCTCGACATGTACGATTTTCGTCTTCTGGCATGCTCGACTCGCTCGCTAACTTGTGTAGAGGAACCGGGTGCTGTAGCATTTACCCGCTCCTTGGCTGCGCTCAGCGTCCGCGATGGAAATTCATCGCTACGGGTGAGTTATCCTTGCCTAGACTGCCTAGGACTACGGAGCAAAAAAAAAAAGAAAAAAAGAGAGAGAGACTAATCGACCGCAGAGATCGACGAGAAGAACCTTGAATGGGCCCGCCGGAACGTGTCGCAAAACGGGCTGGAATCGCGGATCAATATCGTCAAGACGGAGCAGAGCGGTCCTTTGATCCCACTGACGCAGCTTGGTTTGGAAAGGTGAGAAATACCCTCTTCACCTCATAAACTGTTTTCTTGCATCCGTCTAGCACGTACGACCATAGGGTGTGGAAAACAGGGCTTCCCGTCCGCTCAGCCGTACTTAAGCCACACGCCGGCTGGTTAGTAGTTGGGTGGGTGACCACCAGCGAATCCCAGCTGTTGTACGTTTTTATTTTTTGCCTCTATTTCTTCTGATCTACTTTTTTTTTTATTTTTTACTTTTATTCAGTTGATCTGATGGTTTTTATTTATTTATTATCTATTTATTTTTTTGCTGTTAGGGATGGGGAGGGTGAATTCGATATTACTCCAGTTGTCTTCCAGGATATACAATGTATATCGCTAACTGAAACAGGCCTCGACTTTACCATGTGCAATCCCCCATTTTACGAGTCTAAGGATGAGATGGTTGCATCTGCACAGGCAAAAGAAAGACCACCATTTTCCGTAAGTACTTCTGCGAAATACCTATCGTCTATATAAGAGGCTTACAACTAGCAGGCCTGCACAGGAGCAGAAGTGGAAATGGTCACACCGGGAGGAGAAATCGCCTTTGTGTCGCAGATGATCGAGGAAAGCCTCCAGCTCCGTGACAAGGTAAAATGGTACACGACCATGTTCGGCAAGCTGAGCAGCGTGTCCATCATCGTGGAGAACCTGATCGACCTCGGATGCCGCAACTACGCCGTGACAGAGTTTGTCCAGGGGACCAAGACGAGGAGATGGGCTGTGGCTTGGTCGTGGAGAGACCTGCGACCGATAACTGTAAGTATCTACAATGTTTTGTAAAGGCAGTTCGTACCTGACAAGATCGGCAGAGTGTAGCCCGTGGGATAACCGGATTCCCGAAACACTTGCTCCCATTTCCGCCCGAATTCACCTTCCAGGCCTCGAAGAAGCGCATCGATGCCGTCGGGCAGAAGATCGACGCAGAGATGCGCTCCCTCCCGCTGCTGCAGTGGGATTGGCGTCCCGGCCTGGCAGCGTCAGGCATCGGCTTCGCGATGGAGAACGTATGGTCGCGCCAGGCACGCAGAAAGAGACAGAAAGAGCAAGCCCAAGCCGACCCGACGGCGGCCGCAGCAGCAGCGCAGAAAATGGAAGTCGAAGTAGACGAGAAGAAGGCCGCGCTGGGATTCAAAATCCAGCTGAAGCAGGACAGGGCAGTAGAAGAAGGTCCTACGGTCGTGGTGCGGTGGTTGAAGGGGACTGACTCTGTTCTGTTTGAGAGTTTCTGTGGGATGTTGAAGCGGAAGGTGGAGGAGAGGTGATTATAAAACAAAAGAGAAAGAGAGAGAAGAAAGGAAAATTCGATATCCATCCATATCGATATCATTGCTAAGGTAGTGAAACTCCTGAGTCCTTACGAGACTTGATTAATGAATGAAATGCGATGTCGCGAATGACAGCACTCACGATACTTACTTCCTGAGAAATCAAATGAAATGAATGAAATGAATGAAACTGGCCCATCGTGGCAATAATGATGCAGTTGATACATGTAACTCTCTCTTCTATTCCTGTACATGTATGTACACCCTCTGTACAGAGACTTCTGTATGTACTGTACATACATACCCAACAAAGTAAAACAAGCAAGCATCATCATCAACTGTATGTATGCCTTTCTATTTCTTTTATTTTATTTCTACGCCCCCCCACTAACCTCCGCCGCCAACTCCTTCAACCTCCGCCACCCCTCGCTATCCTCCCAGAACTCCTTCCCCTTACCGAGAATACCGCGCACGGCACTCCGGGCCTTAAACCGCCAGTCTTTCGCAACCAGCTCTCTCTCCTCCCCCTCTGCTGCTTTATCATCCTGACCCTCCTTCTCCATCCCGCCGATCTTGGCGTATCCCTCCCGGACAAGCCGCTCCGTTGCCCGCACTACCTCCATCCACTTCTTCTCATCGCCCATCTGGAAAGCGCCCTGCGTGCAGGACGCGACGGCCGCGCGCCACGCTTTTTCGTGCGCCTCGAAGGCTTTGCTGGGTCGTTGCCGGAAGAGCTCCACGCGCGCGACGAGCAGCCATAGCGGTGCGGAGTGCGTGATTAGCGGGACGACGTGCTCGTCCATCAGAGAGAGGATTTGGCCGGGGATGGTTCCGCTGCGGAGGATGCGCTGTTTTCCACTGGATGATGTCGCAGCGTTGTTGTTGTCGTTGTCGTTGTTGTTACTGTCGTTGTTGTCAACAGAGATGAGGAGATCCTCGTACTCGTAGTTCTTCACCATGTGGTCCACCAGCATCGTCAGGATGGACAGGTCGATGCTCTTCTCGCCTTTCTTGGGACCTTGCAGCTCGATTACTCGCCGCAGCGCGAGGATGATGTCCCGGTACGGCGTCTGTGGCGGCGGAATCGACGCTGCTACCGTGAGGAGGTTGTCCCAGATGCGGTGGTCGGTGTGCTTGAGGCGGGCGGCGTGATGCAGAGCAGTCAGGGCGTCGCGCTTGGGTTTGTAGGGGTCGTGCTTCTTCTCACTCTCTTCCTGATCGTTATCATTATTGGTGTCAGCTTGTGCTGGTTTGTCGTCATCGACAATCGCCTCCGACGCAATCGCAGTAGGCCGCGACGAGGAAACGCGCAGCAGGGCCGCAGCAAGATTGCTCCATGCCTCGGCATCGCTGTCCTCGAGTTGGACGGTGCGCGTGAACGACTCGACGGCATCGTCCCACCGCTCCAGATTCAGCTGAACGCACCCCAGGGCGAACCAGGCGCCGTGGTTGAGGGGGTTGATCTTCAGACTCTTCCGATAGGCGTCCTCGGCCTTCTCGAGCTCGGGCGGTTTGGCGCTCATGTACAGACGGGCCAGCGAGCGCTGGGCGCGCGCGTACCGCTGGTTGGACACCTCCCAGGCTCGCTCGTACATGGATGCGTCCTGGTCGATGTCGCCCAGGATGCAGAACAGGCGTGGAGCGTCTGCGGGGAGGGGTGACAGTTCGGGGCCGTCGTATTTCGCGTTGTCGTCATCGCCATCGTCCGGGTTGGACCGTTCGTACAGCTGGCGGCGGACAATCGACTTGGCCTTGTCTTCTCGATCCGTGGCGGCGTAGCACAGGGCCACTTCGGCCCACATCTGCAGACGCTCGTAGATGTCGAGGGCCGTTCGCAATCCTCCCAGATTGACCCATCGCGACGCCAGTTCCGCCTCCAGGCTCCATCTGGTCTGGAAGTTCAGCGTCCAGATATACTCCAGTCGCTCGGCTGCGGAGGCCGACTCAGATGTCTGTGGCCTTGGAAGGAACGTCGTTGGCTGTTGGCTTTCATCCGTGCTAGTGTTGTTTTTGTTGCCCGCAACGGTACTGTCGCTAGACGCGGTGTCGGCGATGACTTGGTCGACAAGGGCCTGCATCTGGAGCACGCTTCGCTCGACGGTTCGCGAGCGATATCCCTCAATCCGGCTCCGAACCAGCAGGGCCTGCGTGTAGATCTGCCAGTTCGGACTGCCGCCCTCGATCACGCGGGTGGCGTAGGGCAGGGTCTCTTCCCGGGTCAGGCCATGCTCAGGCGAGGTGTTTGTGATGGCCGAGGCGACTGCCAGGAGGATGGCAGAGTCCAGGGGAGAGAGTTTCGGCTGGTTGGAGGGGTCCAGTGAGGCCAGTGAAGCCGGCAGCGAGGATTCATCGTGAACAGTCGTCGATTTCTCCTGGGAGACATCCTCCTTGGCGAACGCAATCGACTCAAGGAGCGTGTCGTCATTCAGATCCAGCGTTTTCGGCTTCGACGGTGCCTCTGTCTTTGCAGAAGAGTTTGTCTCCGATCCATCGGCGCTTTTGGCCAGCACGACCAACTGGCTGATGTCGCGCTCCTGGAACTTGGTCCGCTTGCCGAGTTTCCCCGTCAGAGCATACTCAAAGCCCGTCTCGACGGCAGCCTGTTCCAGATCCGCTCTGGCTTTGGCGTCGAACCCGTGGTGGGTGTGTATCGTTGCGCGTTCGAGCAGGAATCTCGCCCGCTCTTCGCCTTTAGAAGTGCGGCCATCTCCAAGCAGCGACTTGGCGAGCTCGTCGAGGTCGTCGTAGACGGCCTTCTGCAATGTGCCCGTGACTTCGGAGAGCATCTTCTGATGGAGGAAGTTCACTCGCATCCTCGCCGTTCTCGCCAGGAGGGGCGCACCACGACCGTCACCACTACTGCTGCTGCCGGTGTCGACAAGCACATCCGCATCGACGAGGATCGCCTTGGCGACGCAGAAAAGCTCCACGTTGGGCGTGAGCTGGTACGCGGCCTCGCCGTCGACGGACAAGCCGCGGATCATCGTCTTGCGGACGGCATTCAGCGTCGCCGCATCTTTGCGTAGCGTCGGGGGGAGGACGATCTCCGCAGAATTGAAAGCCAGCGGGGGGCCGGTGACGTTGGACTGGAGGAAGCTGAACAGGGCGGCGAGGCCGATGTGCAGGAGTTGAGAGCGTGTTTGCGGAGCGGTCAATCCAGTCGTCAGATTTTGGACAGCATGGCGCGCTCTTTCGGTGACAAAGTCTGTGTAGGAGACTTCGCCATTTGCGACGCGTCGATCATCATCGCTGCTGCTGCTGCTGCTGCTGTTGCTGCTGCTGCTGTGGCCGAAAACGTCCTTCGCGAGCGGGAGTTGGAGGAGAGAAAGCGACTGCGATGCTGTCAGATGGACGGGCTCATACTGTGTCCTTGTCGAGTCGTCCTCGTATAGCGTGTTTAACGTCGCTGGATGATCTGCCATGCTTGAGATAGATCAAGATAGGTAAGGATTAGAAAGACGTTGTATTAGAATGTTCGTCTCAATAATAGAGCCCCGCCTGTTGTTTTTTTTTCTGGTATCTCAATACCCCGCTGAGTGTCTAGAACCTCAATGTCATTCCATGAGCGAAAAAAAAAAGGAATTCAAAAGAGTTCAAGAGGAATGTTGATGCTATCCCGTCCTGTCAATGATAGCAATCATGCAGACAGACAATAATAATCACATGCATCCATCAAAAAAATTATCAATCTATTGGTGCAGGCGGTGCAGATGTCTTGCCCCGCAGACTGGGACTTTTTTTATCGATAGCGAATTCTCTTTATTTTTTTGGATTGAATGAGGGGTCGAGCGTGGCAATAAGATTCCCCAATCAAAATAGCCCCCTAGTACAGCCAATCTGGCAATCTCCACCCGAGGGATTCTTATCGACACGCACTACCCCCCCCTCGCCACAAAAAGCAAAAAAAATTTCTTTTTTCAATTTTCGTATATCATCACAACCCATTGTTTATCAACAATGCATCTTTCTTGGTCTAGTGGTTATGATTTCCGCTTGTCATCGTCAGAAATGAAGATGCTCGCGGGAGACCGGGGTTCGATTCCCCGAGAAAGAGCTTACGTAAAAAAACAAAATTTTTTGGCATCTTAGTTGCTGTTGGTCCTGTATAATTATATTTGTCTCCTCCTTTTTTTTTTGGTTCAAGACGAGAAATCTGTAGGTTGTAATACTCTGTATAAGTACCTATATTTTCTTTCCACTGATATACAGAGTAGTATATGGAGTACCAACATATGAATTTTTTCTTTTTCTCACACTACGTTCTATTCACACTCTCACCGCCAGTCTTATTGCGTTAGATAATTCCGTCTACATCCTGACTCACTCGCTGTTGCTTCGTCTCATCCTCGTCAGATCGTTTCTACTCTTCGCATTTTTCCAGCAATCGGCGCATATGTGCAGAGATTGATCAGGAACAGTGAGTCGCAATTGAATAGGTCTGTGGACGAAATTTAAATAAAAGAATACATGTACTGTAGATAGACGGAAAATAATAAAAAAAATTTTCTTTCGTCGTCTAAGTGGTGGCTGACTGCGTGGCCAGCCGACTGCGTAGTATTAATTAATTTTTTTTTAAAAAAAAGACAGGGGGAGAATGGCGGTCAGCTAGAGTTGCTACATAGCATACGGAGTAGCTGCCAAAATTTTCAGGGTATCCAACAGAGTACTTTCACACCTGCATGAAAAAAAAATTTTTTCCAAGATAAATATAGAAACGGACGCATACTCAACACCGGCAAGAGGAAGAAGGAGAAGAAACCTGGTATGGGGAGTAGTTTCAGAGTTTTAGGTTCCTTAGGAAACGATAAATCTACTCCGTACTGCTCCTTTTTTTTTTCTTTTTTTGAGGATTTGTCCCTGTCCTAGGGATGGTACTCTGTAAGAGCTATGACCTACCACTTCTGTGTAACGTGACCATGTGTAACGTGACCATGACTGAGCCGCTGAGTTGACTCCGACATTGAGAGCCACGTTGTCTATCTAGGTTCATCTCCTATATTCAAGTCCACGAGAGACCAGCGGTACAACTTTGTGCCGTTTTTATCCTCATCTTGCTCGCAAGTCGAAATACAGAAGGTACCAGTCCTCATATTACAACCAGGGTTTCTTCAAATTATGTGCCATGCTGGATACACCATTTGACGCCTGCAATTGCATTTTATTATATCATCTTTATTTACGCGTTACTGAGCCAGCCAATTTCACTCAAAGCCTTGCCGCCTTTGTTAGCGGCAAGGGTCGGCGAGAGTGAATGGTACACATTACCAGCTGGGGGCGAAACGTGCTATGAAATTAGCACTAGCATAATAGGGTAACAGGGTATATATGCAGTTATACTCCGTAGTTACAAAGCCCTCCTTACATAAAGTCACTAGCCTAAATTTCAGGGACAAATATTAACCTATATTTATTGTAAGAACTAGCGATAGTATATTGTTGCAGGTCCCCAGCTTTCCAGATAATATCTATTAAATGTCTTAGAGCCTGATTCTGTTGGAAATCATGGCATACCAATCTAACTTGATTCGGTAATCAAAACCTGATGTGATATATCATATTGGGAGCCGAAGACCCCGCTCCCACAAATACGGCTTATACAGCCCATCTCCCACGTCTCATTAAAATCAAGAATCAAGCCTTCTTCATATCAATTAATCGTCTTCCCAGGAGTAGCGCTTGTAGGAGCTTCCCCTCTGCATGCTCATAGCCATAACCTCAATAGATTCAACGGTTCGCGATTCAGCGAGCCCTGGCGCTTTTCTCCAGCTTGGAGCCAAAATCAACGGGCAGTTGATCAAGATTGAAAATGTATTTAATATCAAGAGGTCTGCTCTGATTCTGCTGTTATTAATTTAGCAATCTATGGAACGTGTTATAAGAGAACATACGGGCTGATTCCAATCTCCAATCTTGCCTATGAACCTATCTCAATTGTCAAATGTGGGTAAGACGCGTTTCTTTTCATGCCGATAGCAGGTCTGAAGTCTTCTTCTATTTCTCTTGTTTGGTTGTCTGAAAGTCATCAGGAGAGCGGCAACATTTGCAATTTGTGCACCAAATTTGGACTTGTGGATCCATTGGAGCTGTACGCGGTACTACAGTATTATGGCATCGAGAGACTGTTCTCAGCACTAGGGGCTGAGAGCTCAATGGGGGAAAAGACTATAAAAGCTATAGAAAGCTGTGAATCTGCATATTCTGGCTACATGATCGCTCACTAGAAGAGGAAGACTGGAGCAAAGCCGGGCGTTAAAGCCGACTCGCCCGTGGGTTGGTCACGTGGGATATGCGCTGTGATTGGCCTGGCCTTGCGGAACGTAAATAAAAGGAGGGCTACGGAGAAAGTTGCATCACATGACTAGATCTTTTCCCTCCGGAGGATTATGGCATGATCATATCAAGAATCTGCGCCACCAGCAGACACGAATCTACCTGTTGTCTTCTCCACGGTGGATTGCTTCTATTTTCTTGTCGATAGTGGCGTTACATCCTCTCATGCTGAACCCAAGGAGCGCAACACAACGCTTACGATGCCCATAAACCGCGTCGCGTGGCGCAATGTTCACTTTTACGATGCGTCCACCGGAGCAACCTTGGGGGCTTTTACCAGAAGGGCTCTCTGACCGAAGCAACTCTGGTCTGGATTCTCGGCAATGTACTTCTCATTGTGGAAGATCATTGGACTATCAGACACAGAGAGTCTGGTCGGACTATTACACCATCAAGCAACCCAGTTGCGCCTGGGGATTATGATATCTACAGTGAGGGTACGCTTTCCCTGTGTGATATCAGCACTAATGCTTCGGCTTATTCGTCTAGGAACTATTCGAGTGAGTGATGAAGTGTGGTTTTCCCGATTGATCAGTCACGCTGTCTCGGGTCGAGAAGATGCATTCCGCGATGGGGTCCGCGCGAGAGACGGGAAATGTGTCATATCCGGGGAGGTCAATGACGGGGCCACGTGGGGCGTCTGGGCTGGATTTCAAGCCGCACATGTGTTCCCACTGGAGCATGAGAACCTGTGGATCCAATACAACTACGGGCGCTGGATTACGAAGATGGATGATGTTGTGGGGAATTCCAAAATAAACTCCGTTCAAAATGGGTTACTTATGTCGGAGAATTTGCACACTCGCTTTGACCAGTATCTATTCTCCATCAACCCAGTTGTAAGTATCTTGGACCCCAAACTTGTCCCAGCCATACTAACATGATAAAGGATGGCTACAAGGTCATCACGTTCATGCCTAACCGCTGGGGAATAGACGGAAGAATCCTTGACCCTATCTGCCGCAATCCGAACAATCCCGATCATGTATCAGATGAGGTGCTGCGGTGGCACTTTCGACAATGCATACTTGCCAATATGCGGGGCGCAGGGGAGCCTGTTTTTGAGACGGATTTCCCCGCTGGGACAGATATGATGGCAACACTGCGCGCTGAACCATATGGCAAAGAGAGGTTTGAGATGGAGCTCGCATCGAGGCTAAGATTCATGGCTGGGGCAGGCGAGGTGGGATCTCAGTCAAGTCGTTGCCGCTCTTTGAATGTGCTAATTTTGAAATCTTCTAGGACTGAGCGCACTGAGTGACGGCTTTTCCGGTCTGTCATTGCTCGGGAGTGCGGTTCTGTGGAGTTGTATCAATATACTGCATGTATGATGATGAATTTTCGATTGTGGCCTGGCGTTTGCTTGGTGGTGAACTCTCGACATGGCGGCTACTTTCTTTTATCTGTTCAAGGAATACCCCAAAAGGCTAGATCCCGGAGTTATTTCAGTCAGATCTCACTAACTGACTTTCAAGCAAGGTTGTCTTTCTATGTGGTTGAAGGAGCTTTTAGGGCTTTAAGGTCAAATACCAGCGATACCGGTGCACGTCTCCTGGTCTTGTAGCTTCCTCTACATTGCTTTTCCGTTCCTCCTTTGGCATCTGCACATCAAGATGTTAGGTATCTCCATGGTAGTCTTAAAAGGCAAAGGCGAAGGAAGACAACGAGCTCCGGCTGATCGAACCAAGCATGATAAACTGCTCTTATAGATACAAACGAAACACAAATGACAGAGCCAATCTTGGTCATACTTCATCCAAAGAGAACACAGAACAGAAAGAGATGCCAGTCTTAGCTGATTATTCTTGGCGTGGAGAGATCGTTCAGCACGACCCTTTGAATGTTGTCTCCTTTGTCTCTCTAAATCTAGTCTTCCTGCATGTTTATCTACAAAACATAATTAAACTAGGACAAGCTAGAAAATCCACACGATAAATGAACATTAATCTCCGCCCAACCTTGAGTAGCGTCCAAGTAAATCGAAAAGTATTACATTTCGCTAGAGACTGTGCTTTCAGACGGGCTAGCATTCCGAGGGCAACCAACTCCACACTTGGAAAATTGTCCCATGGACAGACTCAATGTGATTCAGCAAATGCATCTTGTGCTCTAGGGTCACATTTCGGAATTTGCAGTTGACCTTCTTGCCTTCCATCCGATGATCGCCATGCCGATCTGAGAACCCGGTGTGGTCCGCTCCTTGATCGCCAATTTGACATACCTGGGTTCCCAAGGCAGAAGAAGCAGATTGTCGGTCTCTTGTCATTTAGGACTGATGCGATTGCCTTGCTGAGTGCCAGATCCTCCTCCTGTGCTCGGTCATGCTGTTCGACCTCGGTCAATGTGAGGGGCTTGGTTGCGGCGCACTCTTCGAACTGTCTAGCGCGCGAGGGCGCTCCCTCCTCTATGCCACAGTACGCCGTCAACTGCATTGATGGCGGCAATTCGTCATTGGTTGCGTACTTTGTGTTCTATTATGACCTCCTAACGGTCACATTGTATGTTCTAGGAAAGTTTATAGGGGCTGCGATCTTTTCTATTCTTCCAGAAACCTATACTACACCATTTTCTGCTTGTACTCCGTATTGATAGTGCTCCGTGAATAAAATGTAGTCCTAAAATAGATTATGGGCCTATGGCGGGCCCTCACTTCCTGCCGATCCATCGCCCACCCGGGGTACCCCACAGTCTATCACGACAACAAAGAGTGAGTTGGCTGATAGCAGGGAGTGATTGCGAGTCCAGCAATGCCAACAAAGACAGCTGTGTCGACATCTCACCCACCCCGGGATTGAAGAACAATGGGTTGTAGAGCTGTCAGACTGATCCTGCCCTCGCAGGGCGTCCCCCCTACAGGGTTGCTAGTTCAGGGGCCGACAGCCCGTAACCCCCGGAGCTGATTGCTGAATCCGGCGCGTACTGTATATGCTTGCATCGGCCGACAAGTTCCCACCAGCCACCACGACGCTCGGGATTGGCGGTCCTCACACGCGATGGTCTAGACGATCCCTGGCTCTGCCTGCGTTCTAGAAAATCGACCGGGTCAGCAATACGGAGTACCGTCAATACGCAGGCTGCGCCACTGGCAGAGCCGGGGATCCCCGAGCCCCCAGCCCCGGCCGGGGTGGCGACAGAAATAGATTTTGGACCCAGCCGATGCGGCCAGTGGCCAAGGATCGGCCAGCGATAGGGGTAAAGTCAAACCGGAAAACGGTAAATGCAATCCAGGGTCGCCTTGCGTCGGCGACGATGATCGTTATCGTTGCGTTCCGAGTCGACTGCCGGGGCCCTAGCCTCTACGTACTCTGTCACATTGGTTGGCTGGCACATGCAGACGAAATCAAGGCAGATTGGTTGGGCAGCCACTCCGCCACGTACGCGCGACGCCGTTCTGGCCCGTCCTTCACCAGCTGTCCGTGCAGGACAACAAAGAGCATTATCCAGCATCCATCATTATTATTATTCACTGCAATCAAATTCGAGGCAAGGCCAGCAGTTGCCTCGCCAGCCAACCAGCAGCCGCGCAGGATTCTCGGCCAATCGCGGCGCGCGGATGGTGCCCCTTCCGCATCGGGTTTAGCGCGGTGCAGCTGTGCCCAATCGGGACTAGTGCGGCACCCGCAGCAAAAAATTCGGAGCAAAAAATTTTTGGCTGGGCGGCCACACAGCAGTAATTAATAAATCTCGCTCTCCCCTCCCTCTTTCTCCTCTGCAACTCTCTCCGCTCCTCCTGTCGTCCCTCCCCTGGTTGCTGGAGGCTGGGTGTTTTTTCTTTCTTTTCTCTGTCTTCTTCCATAGACAGCCATTGAGATAGATCTCTGCCGGCCGCATAGAGCGCATTTGCGTTGTCCGACGCAGATACGTGGGCCGTCGCCACTCTTAATCGCTGATACCCTGATAGACCGGTTTTCGCGTCTTTCCGTCTCTTTCTTCCTCTAATTTTTATTCATCTCTTTCTTTCGAAAAAAAAATCTACGCATACCATTCACCATGCCCGCTGCCGTGGACTCTGCCCCCGCTGTCTCGGCCAAGGAGACGGCCAAGTCGGTCGCTGTCATCGAGGACCTGATCAAGAACCTCTCCATCTCCAAGACCCCCGATGAGGCCAACTCCCACGCCAACAACCTCGCCGCTCTGCTGAACGGCCCCATCGAGGACCAGACCGTGCCTGTGAAGCTTGTCGAGTCGCTCAAGAAGCAGCTCGCCAACAAGAAGGATGCCAACGCCCGTGAGCGTGCGCTGGATGCCATCCGCGCCATCGCGGAGCACTCCTCGATCGCGCCTGGCGTCGAGCCTCACCTCCTGACCCTGCTGGGCCCGACTCTGGCCGCCGTCAGCGACAAGATGACCAACGTCAAGAACGCCGCCCAGGCGGCGGCGATCGCCCTCACCAAGTCCATCAACCCGAACGCCGTCAAGGCCGCCCTGCCCGCCATCATCAACTCCATCCTGTCTGCCCAGAAGTGGCCAGAGAAGTTGACCGCCCTGCAGTGCGTTGAGGCCCTCGTCGAGACCGCTCCCGCCCAGCTCTCCTTCCGCGTTCCCGACCTGATCCCCGTCGTCTCCGAGTCCATGTGGGACACCAAGCCCGAGGTCAAGAAGGCCGCCTACGGCACCATGGAGAAGGTCTGCGGTCTGATCGTCAACAAGGATATTGAGCAGTTCATTCCCGAGCTCATCAAGTGTATCGCCAAGCCTGAGAACGTCCCCGAGACCGTCCACCTGCTTGGTGCCACCACTTTCGTCAGCGACGTCTACCAGCCGACCCTGGCCATCATGGTGCCCCTGCTGGACCGTGGTCTTGCCGAGCGTGACACCGCCATCAAGCGGAAGTCGGCCGTCATCGTCGACAACATGTGCAAGCTCGTCGAGGACCCCCAGATTGTCGCTCCTTTCTTGCCCAAGCTGATGCCCGCGCTGGAGAAGAACTACGAGACTCTGGCCGACCCCGAGGCTCGCAACAAGACGAAGCAGGCTCTTGACACCCTCATCCGTGTCGGTGATGTCAAGGACGGTAAGATTCCCGAGGTGTCTCACGCGGGTGACATCTCCACCGTCTCCGCCATCCTCAAGGAGATCCTGGAGCCCAAGTACAAGGACCAGCTGGCCAATGCTGAGCCCGCCATCGAGTTCATCGCGGCCATTGCTGGTCAGCTGGTCGACGAGAAGGTCACCGAGGTCGCCAACTGGACCCAGAACACCACTCCCTACCTGGCCGCCATTGTCGGCGAGGCCAACGCCAAGTCCGTCGCCGAGACCCTCCGCAAGCGTGCCTCTCCCGGTGTTGAGGACGAGGACGAAATCCTCTCGGATGAGGAGGAGGGCGAGGACCTCTGCAACTGCACCTTCAACCTGGCCTACGGTGCCAAGATCCTGCTCAACCAGACTCACCTGCGCCTCAAGCGTGGCCAGCGCTACGGTCTTCTGGGCCCCAACGGTTCCGGAAAGACCACCCTCATGCGCGCCATCAACAACGAGCAGGTCGAGGGCTTCCCCAAGAAGAGCGAAGTCAAGACCGTGTTCGTGGAGCACGACCTCGACGCGGCCGACACCGAGCAGACGGTCATTGGCTGGACCGAGAAGAAGCTCGAGGCTGCCGGTGTCAAGACCGACCGTGCCGCCATCGAAGCCAAGCTGCTAGAGTTCGGTTTCCTCAAGGAGCAGTTCGACGCCCCGATCACCTCTCTGTCTGGTGGTTGGAAGATGAAGCTCGCCCTCGCCCGTGCGGTGTTCGAGAACCCCGACATTCTGCTGCTCGACGAGCCGACCAACCACCTGGACGTCAAGAACGTGGAGTGGCTGGAGAACTACCTCATCAACTCCCCTTGCACGTCCATCATTGTCTCTCACGACAGCAAGTTCTTGGACAAGGTCATCCAGCACGTGATCCACTACGAGCGCTTCAAGCTTAAGCGCTACCGTGGTTCTCTGAGCGAGTTCGTCAAGAAGGTGCCGGCGGCCAAGTCCTACTACGAGCTCGGTGCCTCGGACCTCGAGTTCACGTTCCCCGAACCCGGTTACCTCGAGGGTGTCAAGACCAAGGCCAAGGCCATCATCCGGGTCACCAACATGTCCTTCCAGTACCCCGGCACGCCCAAGCCCCAGCTCACGGACGTCACCTTCCAAGTCTCCCTGGGCTCCCGTATTGCCGTCATTGGTCCCAACGGTGCCGGCAAGTCGACTCTGGTGAACGTCCTCACCGGTGAGCTCGTGCCCACTTCGGGTGAGGTGTACCACCACGAGAACATTCGTATCGCCTACATCAAGCAGCACGCGTTCGCCCACATCGATAACCACCTGGACAAGACCCCGTCGGAATACATCCAGTGGCGTTTCCAGACCGGTGAGGACCGCGAGACTATGGACCGCGCCAACAAGATCATCACCGAGGAGGACGAGAAGGCGATGGACAAGATCTTCAAGATCGACGGCACCCAGCGTCGTGTCATCGGCATCCACGCGCGTCGCAAGTTCAAGAACTCGTACGAGTACGAGTGCTCGTTCGCTCTGGGTGAGAACGTCGGCCAGAAGAACGAGAAGTGGACTCCGATGTCGAGCCAGGACAACGCCTGGATTCCTCGGAACGAGCTGATTGCCTCTCACGCCAAGCTGGTGGCCGAGATTGATCAGAAGGAGGCTCTCGCCAGCGGTCAGTTCCGTCCTCTGATCCGTCGTGAGATCGAGGCCCACTGCGCCAACTTTGGCCTGGACGCTGAGTTGGTGTCTCACTCTCGCATGCGCGGTCTGTCGGGTGGTCAGCGTGTCAAGGTCGTGCTGGCCGCCTGCTCGTGGCAGCGTCCTCACGTGATTGTCCTGGACGAGCCGACCAACTACCTGGACCGTGACTCGTTGGGTGCGCTGAACAAGGCCCTGAAGAAGTTCGAGGGAGGTGTCGTCATCATCACCCACTCGCGGGAGTTCACCGAGAACCTGACGGAGGAAGTGTGGACCGTCATGGACGGCAAGATGACTCCCTCGGGCCACAACTGGGTTACCGGCCAGGGCTCTGGTCCGCGTCTGCAGGAGAAGAACGACGACGACGAGGAGCAGTTCGACGCGCTGGGCAACAAGATCGAGAAAGCAGAGAAGAAGAAGAAGCTCACGTCTGCTGAGCAGCGGAAGAAGCGCAAGGAGCGGATGGCGAAGAAGAAGCGTGGTGAGGAGGTCTTTTCCGATGACGATCTGTGAAGGATAGACAGATAGATAGATGTTCTTTTCTTGCTTACGTTTCTTCTTCTGGTCCTATCCTAATGGCTGCTTTTTCTTTTTATGGTGTTTATGATCATGTTATGATTGCGATGTTTTCTTGTTTTCTGGTTGGTTTGTTCATAGAACAGTTGAATCCTGTCTAGAAATGATAGAACAGTGAAATTCTGTTTAGAAAATGATAGAGCGGTCGAACGACATGCATCATTCTAGTCTAGAATGTAACTTGGATGAATAAATAGCTAGAGGCCTAGCGAATTGAATTGAATTTTAATCTAGATGTTAGATGTAACGCACTGATTCATTCATTCATCTTCTCCAGATCATCAGTTGATCGGTAAATTTTTTTTTCGGTTCAAAAAGAAAGAAAAACCCCGATAGTAGTCCCGTGGTTGGGGAGATTGTTTTGACTTCTACCTAAACAGGAAGAAAGGCAGTTAAGTGGTGCCAGCCTAGGTAGTACCTACCTAGGTAGTCTCTTCATATTCTACTTCTACTTCTACTTACTCTCTTTCGCCTCCTTTCCTCCTTTTCCTCCTGCTCATGCTTTCTTTTAATATCCCTGATACGGCATCTTGAGAGCATCCATACACTGCTTGCTGTCTTCATCTTGTTTGCTTATCATTTCTGTCATATTTTTTTTAGAAAAAAAAAAGAGAAAGAAAAAAAAGAAAAAAGAAAAAAAGAATATGAGAATACTGTACTGTACTATAGAATAGAATACTTCTCCTGTACAAAAGAAAAAAGAATCTAAGAAATGCCTTTAACTAGGTGATGAATCGACTGACTGTTGACTGACTGATTCATCAAATCGATTGATTGTGATTCTGCGTCACTGTTGTACTGTACTGTACAGTAGAATACTTCTACTGTACTAAAGAAGAGACAGAGAGAGAGAGAAAGTACATATGTATGATTTAAAACCCCTTCACACCCGTGCTGGCACTACTCATCTGCGCAAGCTGCACCCTCCTCCGATAATGCTGCCGAAACTGATACCTCCCGACGGTCCCCAATCCCACGACCAACCCAAACACCCCCGTCCAGACACAGGTGACGATCAGCCCCGTCGGGAAGACCATGATGTGTGTCCCCGGAAGCACGAATTTCGTCGCCGACGACACCACTGCCGCTGAGAGAGCGGTGGCCTGTGGGAAGGTGATGTTTGGCGTGCCGCCTGTTTGGACCAGTTGGCCTGCTACGTAGGAGATTGTGTCGGATGACAGGGATGTGTTGGCTAGCATGTTTGTGGTTGGGTTGATGGCTGCGATGGTTATGTCGGGGATCATTAGGATTCGGAGGTCGGATCTAACGAGTCAGTCAGTACCAGCACAATATATTATAATATAAAAACAGTCGACATACTCCGTGAGCTTGGAATACTCCAACGCCTCACTCATTCGCCCAATATTCTGAAACCCCTGAAGGAACTGCCCCTTCGCAGGCTGACTCCCCCCTAGAGAGCCATTCTTACTCCACATCATCTGCGGCGCGGACAGACTCGCTTCGGGGATCGACACCGACAGTGTATAGTCCGAGGGCTGCACGCCCACAAAGTCACCGACCGGATCGGACTTTTGATAGAACCGCACGTCCATCTGGAAGACCCCCGTGGAATTGTCCCAGAAGGCGATGTTGTAGCAGGCCACGATGCCGCTGGGGTTGACGGCGGCGGAGTAGTTGCTGACTGCGTTCGTGCAGGCTTGAGTGGCTGTCTGGTTGAATGCCTGCGCGTCAAAGCTAGGCACGGCAGCAGATGATGATGCAACGCGCTTGGTGGTGGTAGTCCTCCTGGTCGCGGACTGTGTTGTTGGCTTAGGTCCTCGTTCCTTGTCCACGACCACCCAGGCGGCACGTTCAAGGACGTGGTCTGGGCTGCGGCGGTGGTGCCATGACAACTCGATGTTGTTCAGGAGGTTCTTTGCGAAAGCCGGTAGGACCTGGAGCAGGAGGAGGAGGAGACAGAGCGAGAGCGAGACGCTGTAGTGTCGCATGGTGTAGAAAATTAAGACTTGAGTATTATCTCGACGGCGAGGCAGTGCTATTAAGTCGAAAATATTATGTTCAGAATTGAAGACCGACTCGACCAGCGGCGGTAACAAAAAAAAATCTGCTCGTGTTAGCTGATCAAGTTTAGCAAGAAATACATCGAGTACTACGGACACTCACCAAATATCTAGGATAGAACCTTACCAGCAGGTGAAAGAAAAAAAGAAAGGAATTGAGAAATAAACTGGAGAAACAAAACAGGTGGCGTTTGAAAGAAAGGAAAGAAAGAAAAAGAAGAAAGAAAGAAATAGAACAGCCCAGAACGGTTGAATGTTAAAGGAGTACTCCGTAAGGAGGTCTCTAGAGTGCATCAACAGGAGGCTATCCCAAACAAACACCAGGGTACTGTGACACACTCCCAAGAATCAAGGATCCGGCTAGTCTAGTTTCTGCATCATCCACTGCCAAATAACTGCTAGACAGGTAGTCGAAGACAAAAAAATGGCCTTGGCTAGGCTTGTGCCGGCATAAGTGCGACACGACAGGAGATCTTTTCAGCACCGTTTGAGTTTGAGATGATAGCTAGCTGGTTGCAGATTTAGCTCGAATCGGATCTTGTCAGGAGCTTTCTCTCTCCTTTGTCATGCTGACTGGCCAGCCAAAAAAAAAAGAGGCAGTTGAAAGGACCGTTTGCACAGAGCCATGCCGTACCATTCTTGCATTCAATTTCTCCATAGTAAGATGCCGTCAATGGAATTGAATTTGATGCTTGATGCTTCTCACTGAGACTCGACAGTGACAGCCAAGATTCCATCTGTGACGTCAAGATAAGCTAAACCACAGTTCCTATCTACCTAGGTACCTATCTACCTCTATAGTCTGTAAGTCGGAGGGAATGACGCCTTTTTCGGCGACATTTGACGCCGCTTTTTGCGTCCTTTCATTATAACCGACCTCCTTTCTGGCACTAGCTAATAGTAGTGGTTTCACAGTCACTACACCTTTACTCTATAGAGGTTAATTCTGAATCACATCTGTCCACTTGCCTACTGCAGAACTTCTAACTTTACACTGATTAGCTGCTATGCAGGTGTTCTGTATATAGTGTAGAATAGGTGCCTCAGGTTACCTGTAAGATGCACTGCTCCCAAACTATGCATGTGATTCACGCACCTATATTATTCTCGCTGGTGCCAGCCACACGGCAAACCAGCGATCAGTACGATTAAACATATATTGCGGATGAGAGGGGTAGCTGATTGCTGACTTCCTGGGGATCGGTTCTATATACAGGAATTGCGGCCCAACTAGTGCCCAACAGATAGGGGTTCTTCGGCACCTGCGGCCGACCATAACTGCCGACCAGGCCTACACCTGGCAAATTTCAATATTTAGGTACAATCTAGGTTAAGTGAAAATTTCTGTGGCTTTTATACAAACAGGAGACCACACACCAAAACTTACATTTTTTAAATTAACTAAAGTGCGTTTAGTTTCTCTAAGTAATTCTCTATATCTTTCTATATTCTATTTTATATTTAGAGTGAAATCTAATTGCGAAGTTGGCTCATATCAGCAACTTAGGATAGCAGCAAAGACCAATACATTCAAGTCGAGATCACTGAAAGGGTTCTGTGATGGATCCTTCATCAACTTGGCTCTATTTGGGATAAATGATAGATCAGGCCAGTCGCACTCTTCCTCAAAGGTAGAAGAAGTGGGAATGGTACCTATGCTTCTTTGAAGATGGACAAATCGTCTCAGGGTGGACTTGTAGCAAACCGCGGAGTATAAAAGGTCCAGTGTCGGTGCAGAAAATCCAACACTCTGTCTTCGGGTTCCAGGTTCTTGTTGAGCTGGATCACCAAAAAAAGGGTTCCTCGATACTGCTAGCAAAGCTACCTGGCTCTTCGGGTTGCGATAATATCCTTCACTCCTCACCTCTTTTGCTGTCCCATTTTTCGCTCGCCTGTGATATTTGACCATTGACCCTCATTCCTTACCTGGCGACCTTGCCCCTATGGCTTGTTGTGGCTCCCCGATATCTTGCCTCGTAGCTTTTGGTTCCCCGCCTTTCCGCTGCACAGCTTTACACCTCAAATCCGCCTCTGGTCCCTTTTTGCCCTTGTAAACAGCCTTCTGCTACATCTGTAGGTGCTGGGCTGTTATTGGACCATTGCATATGTTGTTGAGGAGGAAGTATGCAAGATATGGTGAAATGTACTATTAGTTACGCAAATAGAGTGGCCGAGGAGTTTAGGATGGACTACAAGCCGCGCTCAAGCAACTCGATGCGCTGAGGCTGTGCAAGCTGATGATCAGCCCAGCCCAGTGAGGGGTACATTCAGCCTTGTATTCATTTTTGGGAATCCTCCATCGCCACTTCTAACGTCAATACAAGCTTGCATATTCATTCTTCTGGAGGCCGATGATACTGCTTCTACTTCTACAACATTACTCTGCATAATGGATCCGCTTAGCGTCGTCGGCCTTGTCGGAAACATTGTTCAGTTTGTTGATTTCACAGGGAAGTTAATATCTAAATCTGTCTTCCTCTACCACTCTGGAAAAGGCGTATTACCGGAAAACATTGATATTGAGACTGCAACAAAACACCTGGTCCTACTGAATACTAAGCTTAAGGATGCTGCAACTTCTACCGGTAGCAGAGAACTTCAAAGACTCTGCACATCATGCGGTGACGTCGCAGACGAGCTGCTCGCAGCGGTAGATAAAGTCAAGGTTAAGGGCGAGCCAGGGAAATGGAAGAGTGTACAGAAGGCACTACGAAGTGTTTGGAGCAAGGATGATATTGAGGGATTAGAAAAACGCCTGGCAAGGTTCCGCGAGGAGCTGAACCTGCACATAGCGGTTGAGATTCGGTAATACTTGTCTGTAACCAATACGTGTAGCTTAATTTTGCTGACTCAAAGTGCGATGCAGGGATCAAGTTGCTGAGTTTAGAACAGAGTACTCGGATCGCCTCCAAGAACTCGACTCTGCAACAAAGAAAGCTTCTTGACGCCATTATCAGGCAAAGAGATGTTTTTCAACCGGCACATGAAGCACAACTTACTCTCATGAAAGATCTGCACGGAGAAACAGTAACAAGAATCGAAGATGAGCATGAGATCACGCGCCGTGAGATAATTCATGAGATTAGAAAGAGGCTGCCTGGACCTGGACATGATATGAGCGGGCAGGAACAGGGCACATCCCAGCAACAAGATCCTTGCTTCTCTGTTCCCTTTATAAGAAACCGACAGTTTGTAAACCGCGGGCAACTTGATGAAGTTGAGAGAAGGCTTTTTATAGAAGGCAACTGCCCGAAAGTCGCAATCTACGGTCTCGGAGGAGTAGGCAAAACCCAAATCGCACTTGAGTTGGCTTACCGAACAAGAGAACAAAGACCAGACTACTCCGTCTTCTGGGTGCCTGCAACGACCGTTGAGAACTTTCAACAAGCATATCTAGATATTGGACGGAAGCTGCATTTACTGCAGCCTAAGGAGCAAAAGGAAGACATCAAGAAGATTGTGCGAGACTATTTAAGTCGAGAAAGTGCGGGCCATTGGTTACTAATATATGACAATGCTGACGATATTGACATGTGGGTAGAGAACACGAACGGCACAAATGAGCCAACTTTAATCAATTACATACCGAGAAGCAACAAAGGATCCATAATTTTTACGACACGGAACCGAAAGGCCGCGGTCAAGCTCGCTCACCAAAATGTGGTGGGAATCCGCGAGATGGATGAGGATGCAGCAATCCAGATGCTTAGCAGACTCCTGATCGATCAACAAATCCTGAATGATCGGCATATCATCCTTGACCTCCTTGAGCAACTTACCTTTCTCCCTCTTGCCATTGCGCAAGCAGCTGCATACATGAATGAAAACGGCATAACAGTGTCAGAGTACTTGTCGCTTCTAAGGGATAAAGAACAAAATATTATTGAAGTCCTGAGTGAAAACTTCGAAGATGAAGGAAGATACCGTCATGTCAAGAATCCTGTCGCGACCACATGGCTGATTTCGTTTGATCAGATCAGGTGTCGCGATCCTCTGGCGGCTGAGTATCTCTCATTTATGGCATGTCTTAATCCAAAGGCAATTCCGCAGTCGCTTTTGCCTCCGGCGCCGTCAAAAAAACGGATGACCGATGCAATTGGAACCCTAAGTGGTTACTCTTTTATTACAAGGCGGCCAGCAGATGAGTCTCTAGACCTCCATCGCCTAGTGCATCTTGCCACTAGGAATTGGCTGCGAATGGAAAACTGCGATACAGAGTGGGTAGCAAAGGCCATTGCACGATTGGACTGTGTCTTCCCAAGTCACGATCATAAAAACAGAGACTTGTGGAGAGCTTACCTACCACATGCACAATATCTTGTCGGGTCTGATCTCGGCAATGGGGTTAGAGAGAGACTATCACTGCTTATGAAGCTCGGACAATGTCTGCTCAGTGATGGAAGGTATAATGACGCTGAAAAGCCATTCCTGGAGGTGATGGAGGCAAGAAAAAAGGTGCTGGGAGAGGAGCACCCAGCTACACTTGCCAGTATGGCCAATCTTGCATCAACATACCGGAATCAAGGACGATGGAAGGAGGCAGAGG